AAAAAAATTAATTTTATTATTTTTCCAGATTTCTATAAATAAATTTTAGATCATCGAAAAGTTATTGGTACTTTCAAAGCAAGCAAAAAATATCATTAAGAATAAATTTTTTTCATAAATCAATATTTAAAAAAAATTCCCTCTTGTATACTCCATCGCTTTACACACTGTATATGGTTATAACCCTTCTCTTATATATATGGTTATAACTAGACAGCGCGTAACGTAGATTTTACTATAAGCGCCTGTTGTCAAGATAGGATAGGCAAGCAACTGTCAATCGCGGGGCGGAAGTACGTTCTCGCAGCTTGTTTTAGCCTATTTGTAATGATTTAGCCTCCTACTAGCTTGGCGGGCTAACGCCAACTTCAAGTCACACCGGAATATTTGACCATATTCTGTCGTAGCGGAAATGCCAAACTAACATGGCGGCCTATTTGAATGTTCTCGCCAAAGCCGTCTATAATTATAATAATTATAATTACATACTAACTGTACAAGTATCGGTTCCCGTTATCATAACTTCTTGAATAACGTTTCCGGTTCCAAGTTTTTTTTTTCGGTTACAAATACCAGAAATATTAAGTACCTTTGTTTTAAATATTCTGTATTTACATTACTACATTAAAGTCAAATCGACACAATATTTTTTTCTGGTTACGCACATTGGAGATGGCCACATAAGCTGCGGATATAAATAAAACTATAGGTACACTATACTTATAAAACCAACAAATGAATTACACTATTTTTCTCTTTGCTGTCTTGCGAATGTGAGGAATACCTGCTCTAAAGTACATTGTCCTAACGCATAATCTTCGATGTCAAAAACAGTTCTTGCGTGTTCCATAATGCCGAACATTTTTGACCATGGACGAGATTTATCGGTAATATAAAATGTTAGCAGCTCCTGGTGCCTTTCCCTTAAAATGGTTTCTCGAAAACTATCTTTGATAAAATTTTCTATTTCGTCAATCGCCGCTTGTTGCGACTCCTCGTTGTCAAATCGCTTAACTTTTAGTGTTAAAGTGTAACCGTCGGAAAATTTGCTTTTCAGATGTTGAGTTGAACCCAAGCACTTAATCGTTCCGTTCACCATAATCGCCATTCGCGTGCAGAGTGCTTCGCATTCCTCCATGCTGTGCGATGTCAACACAATCGTCTTTCCTCCATCTCTAATTTTACACAGCACATTCCAAAGGTGGCGCTTGGTCGCGGGATCAACACCGGCCGTTGGTTCATCAAGAAATAATACCAGTGGATTTCCGACTAAGGCCAATGCAGTGCTTAGTTTCCTTTTATTACCACCACTAAGTTCCTTAACCTTTTTGTCTAAATGTTTGTGAAAATCAAACTCTTTCGCTAAGTGTTTGGCAAGATGCTTGCATTGGCCTATTCTAACTCCGCGCAGGAGCCCGAATACTGTAAGGGTTTCTCGACAAGTAAGATCGTCAAGTAACGCATCAAATTGTGGACAGTAGCCAATTAACTGGTAAACTTCCTTAGGATGCGTTCTAATGCTCCAACCGTGAACCCATACGTCTCCCGATGTCATCTTAACGTCACCAGTCATCATCTTAAAGATCGTCGTCTTTCCAGCACCATTCACTCCTAACAATCCGAAACATTCGTATCTATGTATGCCCAAAGATATTCCATCGACAACTACCATCTCCTTGTATTTTTTCGAAAGCTGATGCATGGCCAGGTTGTAATTGCAGATGTTCCCTGTACTGACATTGTGCGTTACCGCGCGTTTTTCCTCGCACACATCCGCATCCTCGATCATATTTGCCGGAGTGTACGAGTGTTCTTTTTTACAACGACGAGGAAACGCATTGCAAATGGTTGAGAAAATGCCGTATTCGATTGAAAACAGAATGGCAAAGCACAAAATTCCCACCAAACACGAGTACAGGACCTGTTGTCCGATACCTGGACTTGTCCAGGAAAAGTAGCCCTGTTTGTCTAAAAGAATTTCGTTACATTTGTGTATAGAATTAAATTCGCCGTTACCGCAGCATTCTGGGAACTGGAAACAAACCGCAATGTCACACGTTGAGGCTATTGTACCATTAGGCAGAAACGGCATGCCTTCTATAATGTTGGTGCACATCTCCGTCGCTCTTTGGCATAATTGTAGCGTATCATAGACCACGTGCATGTCTCTCAAGCCCGAGCTGAGGCAGTAGTGAGGCATCACCATAAATATCTGGTGCAGGATTTTTGCGACATTCATTAAGTCCAGCGCCTTGATTTTGAGAATTTCAACTATCATAAAGAATCCACTACCTAGAGAGAGATAGTATAAATTCCAGATGATGAAGATTTGGAAAACGCTCACCAGCAATTATGTTGAACAAGCTAAGCACGGCGTAACCTGATGTGGGCACGTCGAACACGAATGACGCCAGGTAGGTAATTGGTAAGCTACCAAAGCCAAAACTGAGAAGTAAGGCTAACAATCGGGCTGAAAAATGATTGTAAACATATGTAACTATTCACGTGGGCATTTTATGTGCCTATACTATCATATTAAAATGCTATGAAAAAAGTTTAAACCAGTAATGTGTTCCCATAGCTATCTCTTACAGTTTTACTATTAGTATCGAAATTATTAACGATCCTCGAGATCGTTTATAATTTTGTATTGCTGTCTGTCTGTCCGTCTGTCTGTCCGTGTGCACGATAACTTTGTGTAGAGACATCCGACCGCTTTGAAAATTGATACACATGTTCTTCAGTATATAAGAAAGATCGCTATTGTTTTTCGGCTACGTAGTCTAACGGGTCAAAAAGTTACAGCCCAAAAACTGCCCAAACCTCCAAAAAAGGGTTCCTTTTTTTATAATTCTTGTTACAAAGAGCATACCTCAGGTAACTATGCAGATTAAAAAAATTGCGCATACGCAATCCAAATCTTTTTATCTGTTAAGATATTTGAATGAAATTTTGTATGTAGGCACCTCAAATAAAAGTAAAACTGATGCCGATAAAAAAATTTGACTTGTGCATGCGCAATCCGATTTTCTGACATCTCCGTTAGTTATGAACCGAGTTGCATGAAATGTTGTATGTAGGCCTCGAATAAAAGGAAAGCTAATACCGATTCAAAAATTTGTTTTTTCTATTTCGATTTTTAAATGTTCTTATTAACGCACTGTTTTCCGCTCAAAACAGTGCGTTAATGAGACCTATTAACGCACCGTTTTTAAGTTGGTATTAAAGAGGAAAACCTAAATTCACTACCCTATTTGACAGTCGATTGTATTTATTTACAAATTAGGGTTATGCTTTGATATACAGAAAGACAAGATTCCCTTTCTATTTGATTAAAAGCGAGACATGTAAGGCTGATAAAGTGTTAATCAAATTACAAGAAGAACAATATGAAAAAACCACAATTACTTTCTCCCAAAACTGAGAAGGGAATTAAATATTACGGTATGTAGCGTAAGAACCGAGATATCAACAATGTGGGGCTTTGAGGTAAATTTTTACATTAATGATTAATGCCTCTTTTTGTAGCACGCTCAACATCTACGTGCAATCTGTGACCAATGATTACTAGTACGAATAGTGTACCTATCTTCCAAAAAAGACCTACAGGTTATAAAGGAGATTTCGAATGGGGAAAGGATGACAACGAGGATACCTTCGGAACACATTAAACAATATTTTAAAGAAGCAGCTTATTGCTTTTAGCATTTGTTCTGCGTTATTAATATCGTGAGCCTGATTTGTGTAGTATCGTTATGCGCCTAAGAGGAAGTGACAATCCGAAGCCGAATCCGTCCGAATGAGTGACACCTATCACGTAACAACAACCCACTAAGGACCGATCCGTTAGTGACCGGCAAATCGCACAAAGAAACCTTTGTTTTTCTTTTTATGTCAGTCACCAATATAAGTAGAAGCAGTGTCATACGGGCGAAATCTGTTAGCTGTTAGCTTTGTCGTTAATCGACAGTGACACGACTGAATTTCACATAACTTATATAAAAGGACGAAGGACTGTATTTTGCCTTTATGAATTGTTCCACAGTTAATGTACTAATTTCTGAAGTTTATTAATTAGAACAAAATTGATGAGAGTGTATTTAAATAAGTGAAATATTTGGGACGTCGTACTGCCAACTTAATACAACCTGCACTAATACACCTTCTGTATCAAAATTCCCTAGTTACAAAAAGTTACTATAACATCATTTTGATAAAAATTTCTCGAAAATATCTTCTCAATAGAAAAAATAGTATAAGAAACTTGTTTCATAAGACGCCCCAACGCACTCGTTCATTTGAAAACTCGCCGCGAGCGGCTCATTTTCTAAACTTGAACTCGTGCGTTAAACGCGCCACTTATGAAACTTGTTTCAGCTATGCTGATCTAGTGGGACAGAATCAATCCCTTAAGGTGTGTTGTAAAAATGATGTATGTGCGAAGATCTCGAGGATCGTTCGGTATTCAGTTGTATCGGATTTTTCAACTTGGAACAGGATTGAGGATTTTTTATATTTTGGGGGCATCCGTCGTTAGCGCCAAGGTGGATAAAGTTCTAGTGGCAATCGATTGGTAATCTTTTTCTAGGAAACGAATTTTTTTCATGATTCTAGTTCTAGTATGTCGATGACAAGGATATTGAGTTGAGTTAAGTATATAGGTATATAAAAGTGATCGATTTCGGATTTCAGAACCTATCACCAGGATTTTAACTAAAATACAGGCATCTATAATTTTAATTTTTTCAACATAAACTGGTCAATCCCTCTACACACTTTAAACATGCTCTAAAAGGAAAAAGGGTAGGCATCCTACACGACTGATGCTCCGAGGTAAACCTTATCACAGAAAAGCTTAAAGTACATCAGCAAGCTTCGACGCTATCTTTAACCCAGGTGGGGGAAATGTGTGTGCTCAGTTCTTAAGTTTACCCTTTAAGGTTTCTTGGTTGTTGGATTACCTGCATCGATGATGGCACTGCGCAGTTGCTTTAAATCACTGTATCTAGCCCGAGGTCACGGGAGGGCGCAACACCTCGTGAACGCCTATTTTTTGGACAGGCCCGATGAACCAACGGAGTATCCAAAGCACGAACAAAAAGAGAAAAACGGCTTAAGCACGAGCGAGAAGAGGGAGCAGGAGGGCGCCGTTGTTCATCTCACAAACAAACACTATAGCCTTTAAACGCAGCTGTAAACTGCTCATACAATTTGATAACACCTCGCCACTAACTCAATTTCTAGAGATCTGGTCGCAGAGGCAGTACCCACATTGACCGTCATGGTCCCTCAACCTACGGACGGGTGGAGTATATCAGAATTGAGGTTGAGGAAATTCACCAAACAGTAGAAACAGTAATCTACATGAAATTACTTGTCTAACAAAAACCAAAGAGTTTCCAAAGAATGCGTCCTGATGGAATGGGGAACTAGAAAAACGTCAAGCGACTGCCAGAAGGCCATTTAACAAGCCCAAAAGGCAGAAGCGAGATGAACTCTGGGAACTGTCTAGAACGCTTGCTATGTACAATTCTGAAATAAGGTGATCTAAGAAAAAGACCTTGTGCCAATTCTGTGAAGGCATTATTAGTATATCCCCAGTAGCCTCGTGCAGATAAAAGGGTTTTATCAAAAGCTCACTCAAATAGCATGGGGAAACTTTGAAAGGTTGATAACAACTTGTCGAAAAGCGCCATGGAAACACTCACTTTCCAGGCTTTTGTCGCCAAATAGTGGCATCAGCTGACACGACAAAAGTGGAATTACAAATCCCACTCCAGAATGGGCTGCTAAAATTTTTATCCAAAGTCGGGTTGAATGGATTCTAATGGCGTTTAAACTCTCTAATGTTTGGCAGGGATGACATTTCGCAGCGCTTATACAGGGTGGTGCCTAACGCGACGCAGCATAGGAGTTTCAATGGTAATTTCTTTATAGTCAATTACTAGCTCCCGTAATTATTTTAGAGCAAAAGTCTGAAAAGCGTTTTTTTTCAAAGAAAAAAATACTGCATTTGTTCATACTATTACCACAGATATACGTAAAGACGTATAAACCTCTCGCGAGGAAAGATTGCCGGTCACAGAAGACCTGATCCCGGTCTACAACCTGTGTTTTTCTAAAGATGTGAGCGACTTCCGGGATAGGATCGTGCCAATGTTGAACGAAAAGTCTTTTCCTAAAAAAACAGCGATCACGTTTCATTATTTGCCTTTGACGTATATTATTAAATTTATACTTGTTTATAAATTAGTGTATCTAAATCGTTTATCATGTATTTAACTGAAGAGAAAGAGGAAATAATAACGTCTTTATTTACTGTGAAGTACCCCAATCGACCGATTCCAAGCAGTAGCACAGTAGACAGAATTGTGCGCAAGTTTCAAAGAACAGTAACAGTGTGAAATCACTGCAAGTGCAATAACGTTCAAAATCTCAGTCAAAACCATCAAGAACACGACAATACATTCAACGTTTTGGCAGCAGTAGCGAAACGAGATGGCATGAAAATATTTAACTGCATCTGCTACGAAGATGCTACCGTCTTTTCAAATTTTCACTTCACGTATCGATTAAGCACATTTTATCACACATATTAACACAACTTTTAAACTGGTACTCGATCACGCGATTCTGAGTGATTCTCGACGTCTTTGATGGCGTCTGCCTCAAAAATGCTACCAACTAACGCGTCTGCCAATTTGGTTTTGTTAACTAATGATGTTTCCGCATGTTTTAACACATATTTCAACTTGGTACCCGGTATAAAAAATTTGCTATGGTTAGCACAGCAGTACATTGTTCCATTTTTCAGTTCAATATTAAATAACGGAAGTCTTCTAACTGATTCAAATAGGGAAAAAAGTGCAACAATTGATGTCCTCACAGACAGCCAGCGTACTTGTGATTTTGAACTATTCTGGAGGTACATCTGCAACATGATGCAGTTGACGAATAAAAACCATTTTATTTTATGATGGGTTGCAGGACATGCGAATATTTCAGGCAATATAAAAGAAGATGATCTGGCAAAAACATTGCCACGCTTATGCCAAAAGGTCCACGGCCTTATTGTGGCATACAAAAGTCACAGACAACAATAAGTAATAAATCAGTAGGAAGAGACAAGGAGTTTCGCACTGAACATGCAACTTGACCCGCGACAAGTTCAGCGATTTTTCAAGGCCTCGCTGCATAAATCCAAGCAGGTCACAACATTCAGCAAGGTGGATCATCGGTTCCTTACAGGTCATCTTCCGCTAAAGTATCCGATACATAAGTATAGCTGAGCAGAATATTTCGTATGTAGGTAACGAAATAGGAGACGTGAACCGCAAAAGAGTTGCTAGGTGCTTCAATGATCTAAGTCTATTTTAGAAACCAGTCAGGGAATTCACAAAAATCCTGAGGGATTAATAATAAAACGTGCCTCTTTAGAAGATTCGTTGGTGGTAGGTGCACTTTTGGTATACTTACAGACGTCCTCTGCTGTGCTGAAGCCATCCTTTTGAAATATGACCAACGCTACAATGACACATACTGATGTGAAAATAAACGTTAGAACATCGCATACGAAGGACGGAATCCAAAAAGATGCGACATTCGCACCGGACACAAATTGCAAGTGCTTGAACTTAGTAGATCGTTCACGAATGTAGAATATTATGTAAAATGCCATTACGAAAGCCATTGCAAAGCCGAGGTTGTACGCTATTTGAAAGCCAATGTTGACTCGCGATTGTAAACCGGAAAACTGCAAGTTTCAAGATTACGATGGTTGTTTACAATTTGCTTACGGTTCACCTGCTTGCTTAAAGTCTCGGGCAATGGCCAATTAAACACCGCGATAGCGTAATCGGGTGTCACTTCTGACTGTAAAACTGCGTTCATTACCATTTGTAACGCCAATGGGGCCCCGTGATAAGGTTGGTTACTAAACCAAGCGATAATGGACTTGTCCGCTTCGAACGAGGCACCGGTAATGTAACGAGTGTTATAGTCCCCCATGCCCTTTTTTGATTCGTCGATCATCATTTTGGAATATTCGTCATTGGTGATGTTCTTCCAGTTAATGACTATGTGATTGGCTCTGGTAAGCATATTTATAAAGCTCTGCGAGTGGGGGTTCGCAGAGTGAGTACTGATTGGAGTGATTGGGTTGTCGTAGACATTTAACTCGTATCCCAACATAGGTTGGTTAGCAGTACTTGGTATTTTCATTACAATGATCACGGTGATCACCACGAACACTACCGGAATTAAATTTTGAATTAGAAACAGCAACCATGACCGTAGAATTGATAACCATCTTTTGTAAAACATCCCGTTTATTTGGTTCAACCACAATCTCAATCCTGTTAGCAACTTGCCATCATCGATTTCACCTAAGCAGTAACTCGCATTCAAAGCACCGTAGCGTTCAGTTTCTTCAATTTGCTGTTGTTGTCCATGATCAGCCCCAACTCTAAAAACACGTAGAGTTACAAAGAGCTTAATATAAGACATGTATCTAACTTCATAAACACCTCTTCCAAAGTTGTCAAGGACACGCCATAACTAAGCACACCTAAACTATGAGATTCTTGTTCTAGTTCACTTAACATCCGTTCGAATACGCTGTTGTATGCGTCGTCCAACACGTAACTCAATTCAGAACCAATATTGCTTCTGACAGTTATATCGGGTATATGCCGTCTCAGCAGGTCTGTTACAGATTCAATGTGACAGTCCGGTGATTTGTCTAATACTAGTTGATAACCGGCGCAGTATCGTTTCTTTAGGAAGAAACTGGAACCGCTACACTCCAATTTACCACCGGCCATTATTGCGATACGATCTCCAAGCAAGTCGGCCTCGTCCATGAAATGTGTAGTTAGTACAATGGTTCTATCTAGAAATATTTGAATATGATATATGATACCTATTATTTAGAGTTTCAAAGGTATGTACAAATGGTTAATGGTCAATCATGATTAGAATACGTCGACTTTAACAAGAACCCTATAGGGTTCTGTATGCTGAATTTTGTTTAGTTGTGCAAAAGTACCTCGTTTACGTTTGTTTTCTGTTAAGACAACGGTTGGGCTCGTAAAATTTGCCCATTTTTTTAAAATCTCGCCAAATAAAAGAGATGGTGTCCGTAATATTATCTCGAACACACTGTATAATGTAAATGTGAAGTCGGCAACAGTGCTGGTTTATAAATTAGAAAATACGATTGCAATAGTCGAATCAGAAAAAATACTGCACATCGTACCGGGGGCCCGCGAACGCATTAGATTTTTTTTTATTTTCTGGGCGACTAACCCTCGATTACGACCGCGGTATAAGATGAAATTAATGGGATTCACGTGACAGTCCGGTGTTCGAAGAGGGTAGTTCGGGTAGAACGAATGAAAAAAATGTTTAAGCGAGTCTGCCGATGTTAATACGAGGTGAATGCAAAAATTCAGGGTCCAGCGTAGAAAAATACGTGGGGAATGTAATCGCACCCACGCCACGTCGAAGTGTAATAGCGCGAAAACTTTCCGTTCGAAACGGTAGGGATTTTATTATATCGAATCGTTAGCGGAAATGTTTACTCGGAAATCACCACCTAGTAATTATATATTTATTGTGAAAGGAAATACGAAAGTACATAAATCAATTTCAATGTCATGCAAAGGATTATGTTTCGTGGGATGGTTTAATGTTTTTAACAACACGTCAAAAGATCGTTGTTTCGGTCCAGGGTAACCAGTTAGGGGATGATTCGGTACTACAGTTGAACGACATCGAGTAGATACCGTTATATCTGCAACGATCTCAGTAAAGTAAATTTACTGTATGTTCATATTTAACCGAGTCTTTAAGAGTTTTTGATTTTTTAACACTTCATTGTCATTCAAATAGTAACCAAAGAACCCTTAATGATTCAGACGTTGATTTTCAAAAATTCGATAAACTGAATACCGAACGATCCTCGAGATCTTCACACATACATTATTTTTACAGTACTTACACCTTACGGGGTTGATTCTGTCCCACCAGATCAGCATGGCGTATAAAACGAACTTTTGAATGTGCATTAGTTTGCACGCGCAAAACAAATTGTTTGATTCAGCACTAGTTTTACTTTTATTCGCGGTGCCTAGGGGCGGAGGGGGCACAGGGGACCGCTTAAGGACTTTTTACTTATATTTTCAAAAAACAAATAACTGAAAAGGTGTAAACTCAACACTCTCTATTACAAGCATTGCTTTATCGATTCCCCGATGTAAATTTAATTTAAAAAATATCTTGAAGCAATTAAAACCGTTTTTTTGTAACACTGCGCTGGTCCCCATAGTGCTGGGGCATAGGGGACCATATAATAGGTGCAAGAGGAACGTGGGGAATAATTACATTTTAAATGATTTTGCAGATAAAAAGCAAACAAATTTATTCCAAAATATGTGACAATACAAAAATTCATTTCTAATATTTTATTTACGAACACATTCTATGAACACACTAAACAAACAAGTTCCTCTTCTGTCTCCGACGCCCCTGCGCAGGGTGAAATTTTCAAGATAACATTTTCAAACGTTTTACTACAACTCGGTTGGGGTTCTTTAAATACATCTGCAGTTTCAGGTTGCATGTTTTCATTTTCAGGTTGAAAGCTTTCGGTTTCAGGTTGAAAATTTCCGTTTTTTTTCGGCATTGAAACATCTGTGACTTCAGCAAGAAGGAAATCTTCGTCGGAAAATATGTCGTCCTTTAATGGATGAATTCCAGTCGTTTGGAAACCTTTCACAGCTTTTTCCATAGTGGCGATATGAAGAAATGCCTTTGAAAAAATCTCTACACAATGAGAGACGAGAACCAGGATTATTAGTGTGCCATAGGTCACATATTGGTGTTTCAAAGATCCAAACACGGTGCGGTCAAGTGGCCAATATTATAATATTGTTCTTTCGTGCTTTATTTATTGCTGCTAGAGACCTGTCAGTGGCTGTTGTGGTTATCAAGCACTAATAATATTTTATTGGTTGGGCTGGGTTTCACATGTTTACTAAAGTGGTCTAAATATTTGATAAAGTGATCGGAATCCATCCATCCAGAACCGTTAGCGTAACCAACTGCAGCTGGTGAACATCCCTTCATAAATAGTGGGTTCATGCGCTGTCGAGGAAAAAGAAAAAATGGTGGAACCTGGAACGTAAGATCCTGCAGCTGAAATCCCACAAACTGCGGTAACATTAAACCCACGTTCAGTGCTCACAATGCGCCCGAACTGTTTTTTCCATTTTTCAGCTAATATCTTTCTGGGAACTGGTACCGAATTGGCACCAGTCAATGTTGTAAGTCTGGTCTGATCGCATATCATTAGCGTCTAAAACCGATCGCAAAACATCAAAAAACCTTTGGACTTGAGGTTTGTTAAATCCTGCTGCTCGTGCTAGGCTTGTAGGCTCAGGAGCCCTAATAGAAAGTTGTGGATTTCTTTTTTTAAAACCGGACAACCAGTCAATTCCAGCCAATTTCGCACTCCTATTAAGGATGTTTTAATTGCATTTGTTCCGCTAACTCAAATGCAAGCCGACGAGCATCCAAAGGAGTTATTCCATAAAAAACGTTTTTCTAGGTCTAAAATATGCTCCACTAATGCACTTTCTTGTTGGACGGAGAAAACTTGCTTAAGAAGGTCAGTTCTGGGAGATTTCGGCACGTCATTCTTTGGTCTTCGCAAAATACAAGTTTTGGCCACTACTAGAATTGACGTTTGTTTACATTTGCGCCAACTACTATATTTTGTAGCCAAATAATCATGTTTAATTGGGGTGTGAAGCAATAGTATATTTCATTAGGAGTTCGGAAAGCAGGCTTTTTCCGTGCGCGCGTGGAAAATTCCCGTGTGAGGCGTAGCCCACTACACCGTACCGTATCATGACCGTACCATGATACAAATACATGTATCATGGACCGTACTATGAACGTATCAGGCACGGAAAGTAGACGATACGGACGGACTACTATGCCCACTAGACCGTATCAACACCGTAACATACCCGTGCGTAACGCAAGGTTGGTATATTACTATTATGTATATTATACATATTATAGTAATTGCCGCAATGGCAAACATAAATTACGTGCAAAACAACAAACTTCAAAGAGCTGAGAATTTGTGCGTTAAATATATTTTTAACCTGCGTATAGATGACAGAATCTACGATAAATACAAAATCCTGCACATGCTGAAGATCAGAGACTTACAAGAATTTAGGATACTAAATGTACTTCTTTCAATACTAAAAAACAAGACACCAGAGTATCTAAACGATCAGTTCACCTTTTTTCAAAGTTGTACCCGTCAACAAAATAAAGTCCTAGTGCTCCCAACTCATAAAACAGAAGTGTATGCTCAGTCCTTCACGGTGAAAGCTATCAAGCTGTATAACAACTTACCGGAAATCGTTAAAACCATAACTACAGCTGCAGTGTTTAAAAAAAGACTCAAAGACTACTTATTAAACAAGAACGATTACTAGTGACCCTAAGTGTATGAGTTGTTATTGTTATTCACAATTCCCGCAAATCAAGTGTATTATTTTGGTAGGGCAATCCATTTCTTTTTCTCAGTTAATTTACCTAGTTAATAATTGTTCTTTATCATTTTTGAACTGTACAATGTATATAATGTAATTATTATTGTATGTTAAGCTCGTGAAGAGGTAAGAGAGGTCTTTTAAGACCTATTCTAAACGAGCTAGATAAATAAATTCAGTCAGTCNCTCTCTCTCTCTCTCTCTCTCTCTCTCTCTCTCTCTCTCTCTCTCTCTCTCTCTCTCTCTCTCTCTCTCTCTCTCTCTCTCTCTCTCTCTCTCTCTCTCTCTCTCTCTCTCTCTCTCTCTCTCTCTCTCTCTCTCTCTCTCTCTCTCTCTCTCTCTCTCTCTCTCTCTCTCTCTCTCTCTCTCTCTCTCTCTCTCTCTCTCTCTCTCTCTCTCTCTCTCTCTCTCTCTCTCTCTCTCTCTCTCTCTCTCTCTCTCTCTCTCTCTCTCTCTCTCTCTCTCTCTCTCTCTCTCTCTCTCTCTCTCTCTCTCTCTCTCTCTCTCTCTCTCTCCCGTTTATTTTAATTTGTTGTTTTTCAAATCTCATGTATTTGTTTTGCTTTTAAAAACAAAAAGGGGGTACTGTAACGGAAGCTTGTTAAATTTTCCAATTTTTTGTAGATTTCAAAATTATATTCGGCTAGAAGTGCGTATCGATGATTCAGATTTCTGGGAAGCTGTAGTTTTCATTAAAAATAACAAACATTTTTTTTCGATGTAATTAAGTTTCAAATATCGTGAAATTTTAGATGAGTTATTGGTTTTGGACTTCCAATTTTGGGCTAGTGAACGATTAGTAGGTGATTTAAAAAAGGCCACTGGTTAAAAGACGCAATTGATTCTAAGAAAAATATGTAATGAAACAGTGAGGCTAAAAAATTATGAGTTGGTTTATTTCCGGTAAATCGTAGGGAGTGTTAATTACGGGCGTTGGTTTACTCGCGATATAAAAACAAAATGATCCGAAATTTAGAAGAGATATTCGCACGAGCGAGTCTCGCTGCGGAAAAAAACGCTGCTACGGGCCACCGAGAGAATTTTTTTAGTAGACGCGAATGTCGCTGATGCCCCGTGGCTTTGGACCATCGACGTCAAAGAGGTCCAATTAAATAGATATAATTTGTCGGACGTTTTAAGTTAAAATCGTGTCTTTTAACCAGGAGCAAATTGGTCGTTCTGGAATAGTGAATTGTTCGGAAAGTATTAATCATTGAGTATCTTGCAAAAAAGCAACTGCAGTTTTGTTTAACGTGCGATTGAAAAACTTCCGTTCAGAAATTATACAAAGTACGAAATGCGCGCTAGGTAATTGTTGTTCAATTTGGATTACGCGATTGGAATTAATAGACAAAGATTGAGAATAATTTAAATCATCCTCCACTACAAAAACACCATCTCAAAAGGAGAAGAATACAAATGTCTAAATTGTAAGTTATTTTTATCAAAAGTTATCTAGGAACTGATTTATATTAAATTTTAATTTTGTCATTTTATAATTCTTTTCGGCGAATGGTTTTATAGGTAGGCTAGTTTAGTACTTAGCCATTAGGTATATTCATTGCTGTAGGTCTTTAATTAAGTATTATATTAAGTAAATTTAAATAGTATTCAGATTCAGGATAGTTGTAATGTAAGTAATTGAGTAATTAATATACTAAAAAAAATCAATTGTGGGTGCAGTGGAATTTGGATTTTTTTTTTCAATATAGTCGGTTTATTTTTGTGGGTTTATTTTCATCAAGCAGAAACGTGATACGGTAATAAAGGGTTTTTCAACAAGAACTTTGTTTTTCAGTTGTGGCAACACCGGCAACATCATAGTTTTGACATTTAGTTTTTTGACGTATTCGTAGTAGATGCATGGGCAATTGTTACAATGAATTCAATTTCGCTTGAAAATCGCATTAAAATCATTAAAATCCAGGGTATGTCAACAACCAAAATTGCCGCATTTGGGCTTCTGAAAATCCTAGAGCGATTATTGAGAAGCCTTTACATGCTCAACGTGTCACTGTATGGTGCGCTATGTGGTCTGGAGGGGCGATTGGGCCGTTTTTTTTCGAAGATGAGACTGGAAATGCGATAACGGTCAATGGATCACGCTATCGCGAGATGTTAACAACTCAATTTTGGCCTATTATTGATGACGTGGATATCACTGACATGTGGTTTCAACAGGACGGTGCCACATGTCACACAGCCAATGAAACGATCAATTTATTGCAAACCAAATTTCCCGATCGCATAATTTCACGAAACTCAGCTGTTAAGTGGCCAGCCAGATCGTGTGATTTAACACCACTGGATTATTTTTTGTGGGGCTATGTTAAGGACAGAGACTATACGGAGCCAATCGAATCGATTGCAGCCTTAAAACTCAAAATCCGTGATGTGATTAACGAAACAGACCCGTCATTTTGCCAAAAAGTGATTAAAAACTTTGAGGAAAGAATCGACATCTGTCAGCGTGCTCGTGGTGGACATTTGCCACATATCATTTTTCATTCATAATTGCCCAACTTTTCTCTTTGTAATTCAATAAAAATTTTAATCATCTTCATCTAATTTTTTTGTTTTATTTTGTTTTAGAAAACAAAGTTCTTGTTGAAAAACCCTTTAGTAGGGCTATTACAAGTATTTGTGATATTAACAAGGAAGTGATTCTAATACGAATGCAACTTTCATTATAGTACCCTTACCTTTCTTTTGCTTCAACAACAAATCCCACAAAGCTCTTCGTGCCGACGGATCCATACCGGCCGACGGTTCATCACACATAACCACTTGTGAATTGCCACATAGTGCCACACCAACCGACAATTTCCTTTTCATGCCACCTGACAATTGCTTTGAAGTCGCCTTGGCCTAAAATACATCTGAAGTGCTTAGCCCATAAACCACGCTTTACCTTGTCACATAGTTCCAGCAGGCTAACATATTTTTCAATTTCTTCATTAACTTCGCTTCGTTTCACCCCCTTTAATCTACTATAGAAATAGAGATGCTCCTCAACTGTTAAATCGTCAAAGAGTATGTTGTGCTGTGGACATATCCCAAGACTATTTCGAACCGCCTTCATATTCGTTCTAATATCAAAACCCCCGACTGTTGCAGTTCCACTCGTAGGGGGTATCATCCCGGTCAACATTGACAGAAGCGTAGTTTTACCTGCACCGTTATGACCCAACAGAACGGTGATTTGATCCCTGTACATATTAAGAGAAAAGTCGTTTACTGCCACTCTATTGTTCGAATATATTTTTCCAATAGCCTTAATTTTGATACCGGGGTGAAGGTACGTTGGTTCACTTTCGCAGTTCTCATTCACAATTTGATGTACACCGTTTTCATTACCTTCTAAGGCTAGTATTAGCAAACGGTGGAGAAACTCTGCGAGTACTTACCGCTAATTGTGGTACCACACCAATACGAAGGAAGAAAGAGAAAGTACCACGGTTGCTTAATGCCGTAGTCCCCTGGAAAAACGGCTTCCACGTAAAGAGCTATCAGTAGGTATATCACCGCATCAACTGCTAACATAATTAAAACGTATCCGAAAAGAAGATCATCACCCTGAACTTGGCTCCACAAGTTATGCCACTGTAAACCTTCATCAATACTTTCCATTTTCACTATCAGTTTCATGCCCAATGCTAAAGCAGAATTGGAACACAGTGTGGCGAGAAGTTTTTCCGTCAGTGAGACGTGGTCGTATTTGAATTGAATGGCCATAGATGGTACATATAACAAAAACCAGGCAATACCGGCGAAAGTTGACGCCGTGCTCGCTAAAAAGTACTTCCCAGTTAACCAAGCCGAGCAGCACTCGCTATACCTTTCGAAAACAGTGTACTCACTGCAAAATTAAACGTTATCAATGAGCACGAGAACAACACCAAAAAGATAAACAGTATAATTGGGTTTGAGTGCGTAAATACTGTGTGTTCAGTGCCAGGGTACCAGGGAAATTTCAGTAAAATCACCATTAGTATTAATGAAACAAGCATCATGACGAATGATTTACAAAACCAGGCAGTCCAGTGCAACCAATTTGGCAATCCCATAATTTTCATCGCTTCCTAAAAGTCATTGGCGGATCAAAAGAGATTGTAGCACCTTCTGATGACTTACCTTAAGCTGTTTTTCTTTTTCAGTTGCGATTACCCTAACGGTGTTTATGCACGGATACACAAAGCTAGCCATAAAAACAATTCCAATGAAAGATTCGAGCGACGATAGCAGTATATCGCTTATATATTTTGGATACGGAAATCGTTGCATAAAGATTGGAGTTTCTGAACGATTGATAGATTTACCAAACGCAGTTTTTTTGTGATGATTTATAATCGACCAAGACAAGTGTTCTTGGAGCATTAAGAATCCTTCATTGGCGTAACTTGGTGGTCCACCATCAGCGTATTGCAATTCTCTGACGCCAGGAAGGTAGTACCTTGGAAATATCTCTCCAGTTTTCCAAGTCGTGGAGCCATGCACTTCCCCTGGAAATCTAATATTCTATTAATAAAAATATACAGGGTCATTCTTGACGAGTGTCAGTTAGAAAGATATGGAAAACCTTTGAAAATGAAACTAAACTGATAAGTCCTTTAAGGGTTTTGGCACATGATGAATTGAACTAAAATATTTTCAAGATGGTGCCACTTCCGGAAATACCGGAAGTAGCCATCAACTTTGTTATTTTAAATAGGGACCCCCTATTTTTTCTACATTTTCGGATTCTACGTCAAATTTGGAGTACAACGATACATAGTTGACCCTTTGCTCCAAGGGTTTCGCCGATATTCAAGTTTTTATGTCAAAAATTGAATTTGCAGGGGTAATTTTAAAAATTTATTATTCGAAAACGGTGAGAGATATTGCAACACAGTTTTCACTGATTTATTAAAGAAAGATCGAATTTTCTTATGGTATGCATAACAGTCTAAGAAAGTGAGACTACGCCACATTTTCAAAGCTCTCAACTTTTAAACTTTCAAATCTCCATAACTCCATTTTTTCAAATGGCACCCCCCATTTTGTTCTTCACCCCTGTTTTCCTTTTTCCTAGACCTTTAATTTGATACAAAATGTCAAAAGCTGCTTCAAACGGTTTCCGAGATATTCCATATTTTAGTTACTTCTTGTAGCAAATTAAAAAAAAATTAATTCCCTTGATGTAATTCTTTTGTTTTTATTATGATAATGTTTAAACGTCAAATTTGCAGGAATAACGGTATGTTACAAACAAAAATACAAAAAAGGAAGACTGCGGTAGACTCTGAAGAACAAGAAATAACAGCTGTACTGGCGTATTTTGCTGCAAATCCAACTGCATCGCTTAATGATATCCAAAGAGAAATTGACATACCAGATACGAGTGCACAAAGATTTCTCAGTACTGGCGTATTTTACAGTTATTTCTTGTTCTTCAGAGTCTACTACAAGCTTCCTTTTTTTGTATTTTTGTTTGAAACGTACCGTTATTCCTGAAATTTTGTATTAATTTGCGAATTATAGCCTCTGTGGGTTGCGCCTTGTCAGGGTATCTGGAATTATATTCACCGTGTATTAATATTAAATTCAAAAAATCTTCATTAGTGTAACCCAAACGAGCCATTATTGACGAGAAGTATAAGTTCAAGCAGCAAAATTTGACGTTTAAACATTATCATAATAAAAACAAAAGAATAACATCAAGCGACTTAATTTTTTTATCAATTTGCCACAAGAAGTAACTAAAACATGGACTATCTCGGAAACCGTTTGAGGGAGCTTTTGACATTTTGTATCAAATTAAAGGTCTAGGAAAAAGGAAAACAAGGGTGAAGAACAAAATGGGGGGTGCCATTTGAAAAAATGAAGTTATGGATATTTAAACGTTTAAAAGTTGAGAGCTTTGAAAAAGTGGCGTAGTCTCACTTTCTTAGACTGTTACGCATACCATAAGAAAATTCGATCTTTCTTTAATAAATCAGTGAAAACTGTGTTGCAATATCTCTCACCGTTTTCGAATAATAAATTTTTAAAATTACCCCTGCAAATTCAATTTTTGACATAAAAACTTGAATATCGGCGAAGCCCTTGGAGTAAAGGGTCAACTATGGGGTATCGTTGTACTCCAAATTCGACGTAGAATCCGAAAATGTAGAAAAAATAGGGGGTCCCTATTTAAAATAACAAAGTTGATGGCTACTTCCGGTATTTCCGGAAGTGGCGCCATCTTGAAAATATTTTAGTTCAATTCATCATGTGCCAAAACCCTTAAAGAACTTATCAGTTTATCTTCATTTTCTAAGGTTTTCCATATCTTTCTAACTGACGCTCGTCAAGAATGACCCTGTATAATAAAATAATAATACTAAATAAAAATTTAATTTTCACATCATTACATGAGGTAGACTGACACCTCATTGTACAGGATGTAATACCACTAACACAGTAAAGAGAATCTATCAAGGACTTCAGTCCAGATATTACGAAATTTTAGTCATTTCTTTCTCAAATATATAACCTATTGCTGTACGGAATGGCATGCGGTATACCACCCACAAAACGCATGTTCAGCTAGCCCAAAACAAATCAAAATTGTAACATGACTTTTTTATTATACAAATTTTGATCAACACCTGAAATAAACTATGCAATTACGAACAATTCTAAAAGGAAAAACAAATACAAATTCAAAAGAAACGAACTAACTTTGTGTTTAATTGGTTAATAATCCCCTAAACTCCTAAAGAAATATTCCCATACACAGGATCTCCCGTCACTATTTTTGGTGTGCAGGCAGAAGTAAATATAATATATAATATATAATATAACTTAGTCCAGAATACGTGTTAGCGGCAGAGAATTTGAATATGAAAATAGATCAAGGTGACCTTTAAAGATCACTCGCTCCTCCTACCTTCTCACAATTACCTTCGAAAGAACGCCAAAGGTTCTAAACCAAAATTTCGCGTGAATAATCAATTTAATTACTACTCATTACGCTAACTATTCATATTTTAAGGTTCCCGGTAAGGTCATAAATAACTATTAGAATCTTAGCGAGACGGAAATTAAAACGTTCCTTTCAGTCATGCGCTCGAAGTGAGCTTTCCTAAATCGCGAGCTTCGTATGTATATGCGCCGTCATAATATTATTTTTAATTCGCGCAGCGTTCTTATCTTAATACAACAGAAACAATATTCACAATGACAACCAGCATTTTTCGTCTAAAACCCGCTAACTTTAAACCTACGCAAGGTATCACATTCTTTCCAAAATGGAGTGAGCAGTTCCACGATCGCTTAACCATGATTTGAGATCGATAGCACAATACCAACGGCAGGAAATATCTCCTGTGGTAGAGAAAAGTAGAAGATAGAATTTAATACAAGGGAGCCCCTCGACCAATCGCGAGTCACGGAGTTCTGTTTACGAAACTGATGTAGAATTAGCTCTTTGATAATGGAAAAACCCCCTTTAACGGGCACTAAAGAAAGGATTCACATAAGCGATCAAGCGACAACACTCCCAATAACTTTTCCGTAAGCGTACTACACGCTTCCGCAACTCGACTTCAACAACTGCTGACTATGATACACCAAAAGCGTTCACCACTAAAAAAAGTAACAATTAACGCGCGTCATTCCTTGCTTTTCAACTGTTCGAACCATTTCCTTATCAAAATTGCTGCGTCGTCGAATATAATATGTGTTTTCGTTTCGGCGAAAACAGCTTATTTACAAAATTAATTGGCGCACGCAGCGATAACCCTCTTATCGGAATGGCCGGAGATAACGTGAGACAACTTTGACAAAACATTTTATGCAATTATATTTGAACAATAAAATAAACAAATTAAAATTCTATTATTTAAACAAAATTACATAATATCATTTAAAAAAATTCTAAATAAAACCAACAATGACTTCAAATTCGAATACATGATGGAAATTGTGTTAATTCTAAATTACAACATTTAACGTCACAAATAAATCAAAATACCTAAGCACAAAGAGGGTGGCCCAACATTATTTTATTAATTGGACATATCAATTTTTCATTTACATTAATTTGTTTTGAGGGCCAAGACTGAGGTCATATCAAAGAATATTGTGTCACTTACTATTATTTATATAAATATTTCTTTTAAGACGATTCAAGATTGTTTACAAGAATTTTATGTTGTACCTACATAATAAATAACATTACAGCAAAGTTCCAATAGTTTTAATAAAGAAGAACTAAAAATACCATCTATACCTTCCGTTCAAAGAAATTGGGACTTGATCAACGTTGAACGTGTAGTAAGATCTATGACACTGACAAGTGAACTCGATATCGCGAGATATAAAGCTTCGGTGGTTCCAGAATCTAACGCATGGTTAAATACACTTCCCTCTAAAACCATTGGATTGTTATTGGACAACAATACGTTTCGTATTTCCATCAGTTTACGTCTTGGAACAAACATTTGCGTTCCTCATACTTGCATTTGTGGTACGCAAGTAGACAGCAGTGGAATACACGGACTATCTTGCTCGATGAGCGCAGGTCGACATTCTCGACACTCATCTTTGAATGAAATAATACATCGTTCACTTGCATCGGCAAAATACCCTGCTATGTTGGAACCTGTAGGCCTAAGACGTGACGACAATAAACGTCCTGATGGAATGACCCTTGTGCCTTGGACCAAAGGACAAATGCTAGTTTGGGATGCCACATGCACCGACAGTCTAGCACCATCCCATGTTAATTTATCAAGTAAAACGGGTGGTGCAGTAGCTGAATCTGCGGCAGGTATAAAAATAAGGAAATATTGTTCAATTATAGAACAGAACCATATTTTTATACCTTTCGCAGTAGAGACTTTGGGACCTTGGTGCAGAGAGGCTCGTAATTTTGTGGAGTGTTTAGGAAAACGTATTGCCAGTATTACTGGAGAACCTCGAGATACTAGTTATTTAAGACAAAAAATCAGTATTGCTATACAACGTGGCAATGCGGCAAGTGTAATGGGGACGCTTCCAACTGCGATCCCCATGGAAGAAATTTATTATTTGTTATGAATATTTAAAAATTTTTAACTTTGTAATTAAAATAACAAAGTAAAAATCAATTATATACAATCAAGGGTGAATTTTTTCCGGATGATTAGTATGGGGATCTCGTAACCCGTTAGAGATATGAAGTCGCTTAAATGAGCAAAGAATTTCAGAATTTTATGTAGATTAATTTTCCCTTTCAGAGTGTCTTGTAGCTCTACAAATAACGAAGTTATTGTAAAAATACTGAAGAAGGTCTTTTCGGAAATGCGCTGGCGTTAATTTACTTTTAAAGATATACGTTGATTTATTTTTAAAGATATCAAAAAATAGTTTAAACAAACATTTTGTAATTTTTTATCGGCTTTCTGATGATGCTTACATAAAATTTTTATGACTTGTGGGTTACGAATATATCACATCAACTTTCTTATTCTTTATGGACGCCCTATGGGATTTTTACGTCACTCGATATAGAAAAATTACAAGACCAGTGATACTAAACACTTAGTAGGTAGTTCATTTGAGACTCAACATTGGATTTTTGCCTTGAAGTTTACAATGTATTCCTTATGGCAGTAATTCTATGGGCGTGGTTCATGGTATTGCACTTATGTCAGATGTTGTTTTCTGGCACAAGCTTTCGATTATTTCAAGTTCAACGCCTACTTAATAAACATTTAAAACGGCTCTGCAAATCCATTTAAATCGAATTTTCTCTGGAACTACTGATCGGATTTGAAAAATAAAAACAATTCTGAAAACAGAATGAACATTCCTTTCGACCTACCTAACATATACTACCCCTTCCCATTTAAAATTTTTGAGATGCAATTCACCCCCCTTCTCAGGGTTAAAGTTATGTAAGTAGTATTACTTAATTTAGGTGTTTCCCTCAAAACTAAAATTAACGCGTTCGAGCGATTCTGGCAAAACTGTCGTTAAGTTGGCAAAATTGGCATTGACTGTTTTCAGTGAGCCACTCTGTATAAGAAAGTTGTGTAGAATTTTATGCTCTACAATTTCTGATAACAATGTTTTTTTCTAAAGTGAACCATTAAAGAGATATGATTGAAAAACTAAGAAACCAACCAAATTTCGGAGGTTTTGGGAGTGGTACGAGAGAAGCACAAGAGATGGGAGGTCGAAAACTTAGATTCTTAACCATCAGATGACACTTGCAGATGTGTTGCACACTGACTCCCTCGGTACTGCGCGAACGCATGCGCGCTAAAATTTGAATTTGCATATAACTGTCCAGTGTACTAATATCCTTTAGTTCATTTAAAACCATGGATAAGCGATGCACTCTGTAAGAGGATTCTTTTTAGGAATAAGTTGTATAAAAGATTTAAACGTAAATCTGGTGTCTCAGTTGAGAAATTTAGGCTATTCTTTATCAGGTATCGAAATAAGTTAAACAATGATATAAAGGATGGCAAGGAGGCATATTATATGAACTTGTTTAACAGCAAGGGAAATTCTAAGAACACCTGGAACATCATTAAGGATATTACAGGGCAACAAAATAAAAACACACAGTTTGCATTGGAAATACAAGGTAGTATACATAAGGACTGTAAATATGTGGCTAACGAATTCAACAAATATCTTTTAACGGTAGAGTTGCTTACATTTTTAAGAATTCTAAAATTTGTATGTAGATGTTTTAACCAAATTTTATACATTATCTCTATAAGTAAGAATTTTATCAGAAAATATCTTGAATTTATCGTGGTATAAATCACCCTACCCTGCACCCTTACCAAAGGGGATGCATAATAATGAAACTTGCAACCCCCATTTTCTAACGTTTAACCTCCCTTTTAGACATCGAAATTTGATGGCCGCCTGGCACACCTTCAAGGTATAGGCTACCTACGGCAAAAAATTCCAGGACTCTAGGACCATTCTCCTAGAAGTAGGTAGTTCGAAACGGCAGAAGTGGGTCCGGACGGACGGACAAAACGCAAACAATAGCACCTTTTTATTTATTCAAGCACCTTTTAAATAAATCCATAAAAAAGCTTACCTTAGCTTAGCTTCTTTTAATAAGAATTTAGAGTCGTAAATAGGAATTAAAACTTGAAGCTTAAATTCATTGAATTAAGCCTTTTTTCTAGAAGATAGGACCTGTAAATTCACAAATGAATCACTTTCGAAATTCCAAGAAAACTATAATTCTTGGCCGGAGCACAAAAATGCTCAAAACGTGAAAATTAATCTCTTATATACCTATCTCAAAACTGTCGAACATCATACGACTTTGTACAAAAGTTATATGTGCATTTTTCCGCCAAACTCACCTAACGAACATACATACGTGCGTCTCGCCTAAGAAAAGTAATTTATTTTTTGAAGTAGAGAAAATGTGGTTTTGTTTTTTTGTTTTTATGTAGTTCTAGTACAAGAGGCATACAACGTGGTATTAAAAACAGATCTATCAAAATACCACTAAACAAGTATAGATTGTGCACAACTCATGTGCAGATAAAGCCCATTTTTTAAACCAAAATAGCTTTTGTTTTGACATCACCAATGGATATATTTCTTGCAGACGTTTCAATCGCCCTTGTGTCACGATACGATGTCGAGGAGGAGGGGTAGGGTTGGAGAAATTAATTCCTTTCGTTGAGACCTTCCATTAGAGTACCATGAAGGTTAAAACTAGTTCCACTCCCCCTCCCCTCTCCCTGCCCCTACCCCTCCACCCTGTACTTTGATAAGAGGACAGAAAGAAGGGCAGTAGTTGGTAGAAAACAGTCCCTTTCGTTGAGACCTTTAATTAGAATACAATGAGATAAAATATTAAAGACAAGTGTTACAATGCGACCTATTGTAATACGACTATCTTGTGGCACGAGTGGCGACGCGAAGCGTAGCCACGAGTGTCCATTATTACAATAAAGTTTAACTTGGCACCACTAAAGGCATGCGTATGCAAAATCTGAGACCAATTGGTTGTCGTATGTAAAAGTTATGCACGTTTCACTTTCAAAAACAGCATCTCACGAAATAATTCGTGGGGGGCTCCTTTTTAGACAGCGAAATTTGATGGCCGTCTGGCACACCTTCCAGGTATAGGCTACCTACTGCAAAACATTCCAAGATTGTAGCACCATTCCTCTAAAAGTAGTTCAAAACGGCAGAAGTGGGTCCCGACGGACGGACAAAACGCAAACAATAGTACATTTTTTTTAATTCTTCAAAAATGCGCTAAAAAACGACATACAGTCGTGAGCACCAAAGATGACCTTTACGTCACTAGTTTATGAACTAATTTCCAACTGTTACTATCTTCTTCTCGCTTACGTGTTGACATGTGATAGAGAAAAATGTAGAGAATAATGAACATCTTTGGTGCAAACGAACAGTCTGCATCATCACGACATTTTTTTTTCTATTTGTAATAGATAGACATGCTAAAAGTGTTACACGCGACAAGGTCAATATGTAGGTATAGAGTCACACATCTCGAAATGCCAAATAATGTTTAAGGCGTGTATTATCAGTATGATCTCAACCAAAATGAATAAACGAGTGTTAGGTACGTACATACAAACACTCATAATTTGTGATTAGATTAAATACGCGTCTTTGCGGAAACAAAATTCGTGATCAAGAGCATTAATGATCCGAGTTGAACTTTATTTACCTACCTGAAAATAGCGGAAAGATTCCGCTCCAGTTTCACATCCCCGGAAAAACTGTCGTCAAAAATCACTGCAGCAAACAAAGACAAGCTGAGCTGGTTAAATAATTCCTCATTTAATTTGTCCGAATGATTAAAACCAGTGTGCTTAAATGATCCGTGCTTGCTCACATCATTGAGCCCAGTTATCGTTTCATCCATAATTTTGGTTAAATACGGATTAAGCGGGGACCACACGATAGTACTGAAAAGGTTTTGTTTACTCACTCGAAATCCAAAATAAACACACTTACTTTCTTCTTTCAGACGGGTTCCACGTTTGTGTCCGAAAAGGACTATAGAATGAAGCGGGATGTTCTTCTGGACTGACCAGTGATCGAGCAATTACTAAAATTAACGTAAATAAAACTGGCGCCGCAATTTCCACAAGGGTCTGCACTGGATGTCTCCATTGCAATAAAACATTTTTCCACATCAGTAGTGAAAATTTTTCCAAGTTTTCCCATTTGGACCGTTTCACATCCATAATTCCGCGGCTGTCGATTGAGTATACCTACCTACTCTACTAACCCAAAAATCGTCGTTAATCATTATACTACCTACGCTATCAGATAAAACATTCTGGGATTACCGATAAGCGTACAGATCACATTTGTTTACACAAAATGTATTTTGCAATGTACTTTAGACTGACGTCACCTGAAGGTGTTTTTCGTATGAAAAACCTCGTTCGAGAAATAGGCACTGCATTTGTAGAGTATGTAGACTCAAATTCTCGGATTAATAAAAGATAATAGACCGGGAGGCAGCGTACATAGTAACTAAACCATAAGCGACAAAAAATTCGACAATACAGGCTGAAAGTACGTTGAAAACTAATAATAAAATCACTCGTCTGCCAGTCGTAAGTGGCAGCATTAACTTGGGGCGGCGCTGAATAGGTGACTTCTTTAGGTGATCAACTAAATTACCAAACTATAAGGGTCACGGAAAAGATTTGTATCAAGAAATCCCATTTTTTCCATAGTTTTAAAATATGCTATGGCAGACGATTTCGAGTGCAGCGTTGGTAGCGAAAGACGCCCTGCAATGTAGGGAAAAACACCCCTGAACTAAACCATGAGGACCGTATAAAAATCATACATAAAAAATTCCTCTTTTTACCACTACTTTAAAATATATCCTGGCAGACGACATTAAGTGTAGCTTTAATAGTGGCAGACGTCTTAGAAGTTAAAAAATTTAGGTATAGTAAATCCCAGCGAGTGCGAGCGTGTGAGAGATAAGCGCGCGAGAGCATAACGAACAGAGATAGCGATAGGATACTGACTACTGAGATCTTTCAAATCATTTGATTCTAAACTTCTCATTCGCATAGTTCCATCCGCTTCAATCAGACGGATTGTAGAAAGTCAGACATTTTTCGGTGGCATTCGCCCAAATTGCGATGAACTAAACCATGAGGACCATACACAAGTCATACATCTGGTAAATGCGTGGGAACCCGGTAACGTGTTACCCTGCGCGTTACACACATCAACACCCAAATTCACGAACATCTCTCGAAGATTTGTGAATTTCTGCGTGTTATTGGAAAAGGGACCTACTTCCATCTATACCTTGATGGTAGCGTCAATTTTACATTTCCTAAAGCAATAACAGCAATATCCATAGGTATCGGAAGCGCTAATAATGACTTTGCTACTTGTTGGTAGTTTATCAAGATGGTAAATTATTCGAGAATCTGCCTCTTAGTGGCTGCAGCACAATTCAGTTTTTACCACATCATCTTCCCTTGTCACAAATTTATAGCACTTATCTTCATATGTGGCAAACACAACATTCCTTCCAAGTAAAGCACAACAGGTCTTTTTTGCCTATGAACGGTATAAGTAATCTATAAGAGAGGCTTTGAGCTATCATTGCGAAGTGGTTTTATGAAATTTGCAGGCTGCTTCTGAGTGGAAACAGAAATTGAGTAGGATTGTAATCTTTCCTTATTTTGATCCCAACGAGCATGTTCTGCGTCCTTCATGGAAGGGGTAACTATCTGTCAAAAGTAAGATGTACTTCTCTCGCTGACACAGCACAAATCTTGCCGAGAATGTGTTCAGAAAATCGCTCAAAGGTTTACCGGAGATCTTTGAAAAGATGCAAAAAAAATAATCCATCGATTAAAACAACATCTACAACTGGCGATGAACTAGGAGCACTTGAAGAAATCATACTTCTGAAAAAGTTTCAGCAAAACAAACTTGTCGATTTTAATCATCGATCCATCAATGTTGCATAGAGACAACGGAACTGGAGTCAGAGGATAGTTTAGAACGAGCTGAAGATCTATCTTCTTTTCTCTTCAAGTTTTCTGTTTCTCAGTCTGAGAAGAATTCAAGAAATACCGACAATCTTATCGCCAAATAAACAATTTATTATTTTCCCTAATTTAATTCGTTTGGTAACTCCAAGCGGTGCGTAAATCTATAGCTATCTCTGTTCGTTGTGCTCTCGCGCGCTTATCTCTCACACGCTCGCACTCGCTGGGATTTACTATACCTAAATTTTTTAACTTCTAAGACGTCTGCCACTATTAAAGCTACACTTAATATCGTCTGCCAGGATATATTTTAAAGTAGTGACAAAAAGAGAAATTTTTTATGTATAATATTTATACGGTCTTCATGGTTTAGTTCAGGGGTGTTTTTCCCTACATTGGAGGGCGTCTTTCGCTACCAACGCTGCACTTGAAATCGTCTGCCATAGCATATTTGAAAACTATGGAAAAAATGGGATTTCTTGATACAAATCTTTTCCGTGACCCTTATAGTTTGGTAATTTAGTTGATCACCTAAAGAAGTCACCTATTCAGCGCCGCCCCAAGTTAATGCTGCCACTTACGACTGGCAGACGAGTGATTTTATTATTAGTTTTCAACGTACTTTCAGCCTGTATTGTCGAATTTTTTGTCGCTTATGGTTTAGTTACTATGTACGCTACCTCCCGGTCTATAACAGTTCGACAGATTTGGATGGGATTGAGAGGATGTTTAAATTCTCTGTTAGTATAGGTGTAGTAAAAGATATTTAAAAACTAACCATGGAGCGTCAAAGATAAACGTATGTAAGCACTATACAAAATGCTCACCAGATAACTTTATTATAGTACTAGCTGCCCGAACCGGATTCGCACGGGTGTTAATAATTTTTATATTCGTGGTTAGGTTGAAATGGATGTGTAGGTATGATGTTTGTTACAGAAGAAAATAATACCATAAAATTTGGATTAAAACCCCTTTTCTGAATTATATTTGCACCAAATGATGTCATTTGGAATGGAATACACAGTTGTAATGTTGAATATCCTGCTAGAAATGCTTCGATAGAGGGTTTTGCCCTGAAAGTAAGAAATTCAGTGGTTCAGGTGGCGTTGTAAGCTGTAGTAATTTGATCTTTCCGTTTGCACAACATAATCCTGCTGATTCTAGTCGAAACCTGAACTGCTCAAAGAACTGCAGTAGGTAGGTATTGACAAAACCATAAGATACAACTTGCCCTCTTAGTTTTCTCTTCAGTCTCAAAGAATATGAAGTTGGCTTGCGTTACGCGTACCGTACGCCGTCCGGTATTTTGACGTCTCCCTTGTGGCATTTTCTTATAACGATAAACCTCGTCAATGAAAAGTAAAACACACGAAACCTCAGAGGAAACTTATGGTTAGGCAACACACCTTTAAATCTGAAACAAAAATATGATATGGTCTGTACAATCGACCGTTTTGCGCAGATGCCGAATACTAGGGGATTTTCGTAACGAAGCTAATGGAGAATGAAGAAGATGGCGACGAGGTCGACGGAAGGCATCACGCGTTCTAATACAGGCCATTTGTGCTCAAACGGGCATCTAGCGGGAAAGTTGTGGGGTAGTTTTGATTTCTTTGATTCTATATGTTTTTTGGGGTGCTGAATCCGAATCTGAGGTTTGCCAACAAAATTTCATGACGCAACATTGAAAAAAATACAAAAGAAGTTGAAAAAGATATTTTTTGTCAGTTTTGTGCTTACAACTCGAAAACTATCAACTTTTCGAAAATAACCTTCCTATTCAAAATGAAAGTACATAAAATTTCCTACAGACCCCACTATTTAGTTTTTTTCCTCGATGAACCGTTCGGGCTCGAGCGCCAGTTGAAAATTGGGGTATTTCCGCTGTATCCGCAAATACTCATCTTTTATTATTATTTTGTTATTATTCTGTGCAAATATAAATCCGTACTTTTCATTGTCTACCGGTCTCCTCAAAAGATTTTATAACTATTCCGTCTGGTATAAAACTCTCCCACTCCTTCACAGATGAGCCAAGGCCCATTACGTCACCGTGTACCTGCGTTTGCAGTCTCGAGACCCTCCTCCCATACACATACATACACACCCTCACAAAGTTACACAGATGGACGGACGGACAGTCCAAAATCATGAACTCGCTTTTTGTCGCTGGTTAACATGTAAACAGAAAAGAAATAAATCGGGTTCAGTTGTTAGCAGACAAATTTAAGCTGGGGTAATGCGTTACCCCACTCCGAGGAGTACGTGATTCTTCAGAACACCGGAGCAAGAGGGATAATGCCGTTGAATAGGAAATCAATATACCCCTTTTGCCATTTGAATTTTTTGAATTAATAATGACCACAGCGCCACTTTCCCAAATTCAACAATAATTATCCAAACATGCTAAGGTAGGGTTTTGTGATTTCTTTATCTGGTTCGGAAGAGAGTGGGAATAGTTTTAGATAGCACAGTATAAGTATTATATATTATAAATAATATAATAATATGATATACTGTTGTTCGTTAGAAATTAACTTTTCATACAATTCTGGACTACAATAAACACCTTGAATGTTATAAAAATGAGAAAAAACCACCCTTACATATAAATTCAAATAATAGTCGGTAAATGCAAGGAATTCACTTATTGACAACGCTTAATATTAATTTAGGGTTTTAGTGCGAAAAAACTATGTTTTGTGGAGATAGCCGAAATACGCCAATTTTCAACTGGCGCTTGAACTACCCCACAACTTTCCTGGTAAAAATACAATTTAACTGGATTATTCCCTGTTTTCATTTTTGATGATTGTGGCGTTTTGAAGGCGTAATTACAGGTAGTAACCATTTTATTCTTTCTTGTACTAACTACTAATCATTGAATTTCTTGCCACAATTTAATATTATTTACATTTTGCTGATCTTGCATAAACTGCCGATATCCAATCATGGCGTACCCCATGCTTTTGTTTTTGAGTACCGTTAGATAAATTGTTTGTTATACTGTACAGGTGATTATGTCATTATTTTGTTTACTAGGAGTTGATTATCAGTGCGATGTTGCTCTGTTCGATTGAATCGTAGCTATTCCGCGAGGAGAGTACCTAACACAGTTTCATTGTTCGCTGTATCTGTTACTTTCTTATTCGTGGCGCGCTGCAGTTCTTATGCGTTAGCTATACGAATGGAGGGGGGCTCTCTTATTTGATGATTCGATGTTTGTGTGTGTGAGTGAGTGGTTCAAACTGTCTCCGTGGAGTAGGTACTTAATACAGTTCAACCGTTCGCTGTATCTGTTACCTGCTCGTCTCATGCAGGTTGCATTTCTGTGTCTCGCAATACGAGAAGGGGTCCTCTAATTAACATTTCCTCTATTTAAAATATGTCAAGAGATCGATCGATTTTCACATGAATACTTGCTATCGGCATTCTCACATGTACTTTTCGTGTTAAATTAATTAATGTTAACTGAAGGCTGGAATAGAGCCACATTTACATGTTTCCTCTGTACATGCAATTTATTTATTTTACGAGTTGTGTTATCTCAATTGATCGTACAGGTATTTTGATGTGTTTTTGTACTGAATTGATTTATCATGTTTTCCACTGCATTTATGATGTCTTGTGTATTTTGTTTTTATGAACTGATTTTTATCATACAATTTGAGATGTTTTATTTATGTGTATTTTCTCTTGCATTTTATTGCTGTAGGTGATTTATTTCATGTATTTGTGTGCCTATGCCAGGGTTTTTGTCCCGTAGAAGGTTTCCCTGGCATGGTCTTGTGTGCGTAATATATTTATTTGTTCTTGTCATTTCTTACGCACAAAAGTTCTGTCTTTTATTTAATTCCCTTCCCGATTATGTCTCACGTCCCAACACATATAAGAACCGATTACACAACGTAGGAGTTCATTCGTGCCATCCATATCGAGCCGACTGCCATCCAAATTAAAAAGTGCCGCGAAACGTCCATCGTTTCGACTTGAAAGGTAGGGGGCTCTGCTCGAAATTTTCCCCAGAGTTGCCAACGGTACGTATAGGGTAAGCCAACGTTTTCAGTGTCGGCTTGAGAGACCCCTAGGTCCATTACAGATGTTTAAGTATCTCAGTTGTGGGCGACTTCGTAAACGTAAAGAGTAGTCGATTCCCTGCTTGCATCCGTTTAATCAGAGGCGTTTCTATGGGCCATCTAGGGGGGTCGCCATGCCCTCCAAAAAATATTCATATTAAACAGTTGGGTCTAACCTCGTGTCGGCCGAGAAACGACAAAACAGCTTGCCTGAGCCGACTGGGCGGGTCGCTCGGCCAGGTCGTCCTTCTCGTTTATCGGTCGACTTCCGACACAAGGCTGAGGCGTTGAGTCCAACCAAAGACCAAATACAATTGGTCTATGGTCCAACTTTCTGCATAAGGCTCACTATACGCTACCGTTCAGCTGTCCCCTTGCGCTTAGTCCATAAGTCTTAACCGTCACCCCTATTGCGCTTCCCTTATCCTGGCGAGAATATTAGGTACCTCCGCATTGCAGAAAAAAGATCAAGGCCGCCGAGTTCGTTCCTCTCCAACTGGTCCTCTACCTTTTCAGCGCAGAAAAATCATTTTCTGGTTATTTTTTGCTTTTCAAATCTAAAATTCGACCATCGGAAGGGTGACCTACTGCGCGTGCGTATTTGAAGACGAAAAATAATACGCATCTACGTACGACCCCATTGCAATCCGGCAACAACGAATTTCAAATAAATAAACCGATAAAACGAAATATCGAAGGATCCTCTGTATATTGCTATCATATCACTTTTTTAACGACTATTAATTTAAGATAATTTAAGATACCAAAGAAACCAAAATATTAGTATTTATTTAATAATTTTTTCGTAACCGTATTTTTCCTATTACATATTCGTAATGAAAGTAAAATAAGCTTTCCAACGATGTGTTGCAAGAACTATATGTTGCCATTTAAAAAAAAATGGCGGCCATGTTAAACAAGTAAAAATTGTGCACGACTCTGGTGCAGATACAGCGCATTTTTTTAACCGAAATAGCTTTTGTTTTGACATCACCAATGGATATATTTCTTGCAGATGTCTTAATCGCCATTTGTGAGTACCCTCTTCCGACAATCCGTTCTTGAGGTATAAGGGAATATACCCGATCACCATAAGAGGTCGAGGAGGAGGGTTATGGTTGGTAGACATTAATTCCTTTCGTTGAAACCTTGCATCACAGTACCATGAAGGATAAAACTAGTTCCACTCCCCTCCCTCCCCTTCCAACCCCTACTTTGATAAGAGGACAGAAAGAAGGGCAGTAGTTGGTAGAAAACGGTTCCTTTCGTTGAGACCTTTAATTAGAATGCAATGAGAGATAAAATGCGACGGACGGACAGACAAAACGCAAACAATAGCACATTTTTTTAATTCTTAAAAAATGCGCCAAAAACCGTACGGAACAAAAATTTTCTTTTCATGCTAGAATATGCATAAACACATCTTATTTAAGTTCTAAAACTTTCAAGTCGATATCTCCAACCGTTTTCACACCAGCATTTTGGTTCTATCTTTATTAGCCACTCAGTATAACAAATAAAATGCATCAGATTTTAAGCATTGTTTACAATCAGCAAGGAGGTCGGGTGCATCCTTCCATAAGACTGCATAATTGTTTAGTTTTAGTTTAAACTAACTGTAGTTTATTCAATAAATTGTAAGTAACAATTTCAAGTATTCTTATCGCCTAAACACACCTTTTCATATTCGAATGTTATATCTTTGTCTTTTTTCTCTTTTGGGCTTCTTTTTGGTATTTGGTGAACGAAAGGAAAACCTGAAATTGTAAAAGTTTCATAAATTATACACTATCAGATAAGCGTTTACCTGTTCCAAGGAGCACTGTCCGATGGAATAATCTTCAATGTTGAACCGATCTTTTGCAGTTTCCATTATTCCAAACATCATGGACCACCTCAACTGGTCGTTTGGAGGGATGTAGTAGGTGAGAAGCTCTTGGTACTTCTCGCGTAGTGATGCTTCAGGGAAATTGGCGTTAATATAGTCTTCTATGTCCTCTGACTGGGAACCTTTTTCCGCTTTGACTATTAAAGTATACCCGTCCGAAAATCTGTTCTTGAGTCGCTGTGGAGATCCGATGCATACAAAGACCCCATTAACCATTATAGCCAAACGTGTACATAGAGCTTCGCACTCCTCCATACTGTGTGACGTCAGTACAATACACGTACCCTTATTTCTGATTTTGCAAAGAGCGTCCCAGAGAAAACGTTTAGTCGCTGGGTCCATACCCGTGGTCGGTTCATCCAAGTACAGGACAGCGGGATTGCCGATAACGGAGACGGCAGTACTTAACTTTCTTCGATTTCCACCGCTCAGTGCCTTCACCGGCTTATCTAAGTGCTTCACGAAGTCAAACTCCAAGGCTAACCTTTCGGCTTTCACCTGTGCATCCTTTCTACGTAATCCTCTAAGCATTGAAAATATGTGTAAAGTCTCTCTGCACGTCAAATCGTCTAGTAACGCATCGAACTGGGGGCAGTAGCCAATTAAGCGCTGTATTCTCGCTAAGTTTCCCTTTAAAGGAATTCCGGTAACCCATGCGTTCCCCGAGCTTGGCCTTATGTCACCCGTCATCATTTTAAACGTTGTAGTCTTTCCCGCGCCGTTTAAGCCCAACAATCCGAAGCACTCGAAGTTGTCTACTGCCAAGCACAATTTGTGTACGGCCGTAAATTTCCCATAGTACTTAGTCATATCTCGCATGACAATCGCATATTTACCAATCTCTTCCAAAGTGGCATTCCTTATCAATTCGTTTTCGTAGACCACATCCATATCTTCTTGGATTCCTTGGTTGAAGTCCTGCGATTGAATGTCCCTGCGCTTGGTTAACGCGTAACGAATTTTTTGAATGATTTTGAATTCGATGAGTAGCAGAAAGACGATTACGGTCGTTCCGATTACGAATGAGAAGAACATATTTCTTCCAACTCCTGGTGCGTTCCAATCAAAATAGTCACTTGTGGTGTCTGGAAATTAAATGGTTAGAGAAGACGGTAGAAAACTTTTGTTAAGTTTACTGCAGCATAACGGCTCAATCTTGCAAACGGATTTCCTACACTGTTCCATAGTCGCCGCTGGGTTTAACTTGAAGTAATCTTCACACATCAGAGTACACGTTTTATGAATAACGTATACTTTGTTCATATCTCGTATTGCAGATGAAAGGCAATAGTGGGGTACTATCAGTAATGCCCAGTGAATCTTGTCAGCTAAGGCATCTAATTCCAGGTCGGTCGTGCGGATAACTTGCACCGCCAAAAAGCCAGCGACACCTAATAGATGCGACAGTTAAGACGGGTTGTCGGGGAATGTTTTTACTAACCGGTAAAGACGTACAGGAGGCACATTTTTGTGTAGCCCGTCGCTGGTACGTCGTACAGAAATGCACTTACGTAGGTAATAGGGAGCATGCTGTACGAGAAGGAGATTAGGGCGAAAAACATTCGCGCTAGAAAAAAAAAGTAGGTTTATCATTCGTAAAAAATACACAAATTTGTTCCCGTAGGTCGCTCTCTTCAGGAATATTTGAATAAATCTTATACAAAATCCCCCAAAAAACGACATTTTTCCAATTGACAGTTGAATCGATCCTTGAAATGGTAGTAGCAATTTGGAATATGGTGAAACGCCTTGTAAAATGCAATCGGACCTTTTGTATCGCTAGGTAAAATTTGGTAACTCATTGAAAATGAATCTCGAAAGATGGTTGAGGAATTCAAGTCCGGAACAAACCGTGCTTCAGGTTTAATAAATGAAATAATAATTTAACAACTTTCCGCAGTTTTTTTTTTGTTAGTTTTAAAGGTACTCATGCCTTCTAGCATATCCCCTATTATCTATAAGTCTTTTCTTAATTTTTTTATCACTTTTTATTTTTATTTTACAGGAGTTGGCCGTATCTAGGATTTTTATTGCCCTAGAAAGGGTTACCTAGACTTCGTTGCCCGTCCCTAACCACTTGGAGGTCCCTGTAAATTTATTTAATTGTTTTATTTAAAATTTTGCTTAATTTTCTTTTTTGAATTTTGCTGCAAAAATTTCCGAAAATGCTTCTAATATTTTTTTCTTGTAAACATTGATTTTTGTTAACAGGCCAAATAATCATTCATTTCGATTCCAATAAATTTTTAAAGCCTTCTCTCTCAATTTTGAATTCTTCACATTCGTATAATAAATGTTCAGCACTTTCTATTTTCGCACGTACACATGTTGGTTTCACTTTTTTTAGTTTTATAAGAATCAGAATTGAATAATCCTCTATTGGTTATAATTTGTATAATACCCCTATTTATGTTCCAAAATTTCCATTTCAATCTATTTATTATATTTGGTATATATTGATATGTTTCCCTCCCCTTGTCAGATTGATCCCATTCCTCTTGCCATTTATTTAAATAATATTGTTCAAGTTGTTTTATAATATCGACTCTTGTTAATTTTCCTTTTTCCTCTTCAAAGTTTTCTAAATTTTTATGTGCTTTTGCCGGATGTCCAAAGTTAATTTTTGTTTTATTGTTTATATGTGTTATAATTTATTATGTTTTCTCCTAAAGTAATGTTTTGATCCTTTCTCAAATTATAACTTTGAATTTTTAAATTTATCTTTAATGTAATAGGCATTATTCCGGATATAATTGTTATTGAATTTGTTGCAGTATGGAAATGTCCAAAATTACCTTTATAACTTTTGAGTAGCAGTATTTGTTCGCCATGTGTTCTATCGTTTTGATTTAACGCCCGCCGCTACCGTAAACAAAAGCTGTAATTAATTCGCCGTTTGCGACCGTTCCCGTCAAAATGTTTCAATTGTTTTTGTTGTGTCCGAAAGCTCTTCTCATTTAGAACACAAGAGGAAATTCATTATAGAATTTCAGCTCCGTTAAGCCTTTATTAGCAGGTTTCTGTTTGCTATGGTAAATTAAAACGAGCATTAAAACTGCAAGGCCATCCAGGTTTACGACGATATCCGTTTTGATAAGCGATCTTTATGCCGACCTGAGAAACTCCAATTTACAATAGGTGTTAATTAGACTAACGACTTTAGAAATCTCAATCCGGCCAATGAAGTAAGTGCAATGAACCGTAATTAATTAATTGGGTTGCAGTAACATCACTCAATTAAGACGGAATTAGTGGCATTAGATGCGCGCTGCTTTATCGAAACGATTTAACCGGGTCTCAGATTTTTAGAAGAACAGGGGACCCCGAAATTAATTCATGAAGGTTTAACTTTAAACAATGAAAGGTGGTAAAGAATGTGTACGAATACTTGAAGGTGTTAGGAGAGGTTATGTAATACTACATAACCTTTGGTCGAAATCGATAGCCATAGAAAATTAAAAAAAAACGTGTCAAAAAACGTTTATCAAGTGTCAAAGAACTTTATCTTCGCAATACCAAAGAAATTCAAAAGTTGTAGACCCAGTGTGGAGGAACTGCGCCAGAAATCTGGGTCGCTGAAAGAAAGTTTGAAAGTGTTGATCTTGGGTTGCGCAGTCCCTCGGGGATGGCTTCAGTACGTTACAAAAGGTGCTAAATGGCTAATACTCACCCAAATCATCAAATTCACTAAAACCATCCTCTCGAAATATTGCAACTGTTCCACAAATGCAGGTAGAGGTGATAGCAAACGTCAGTAGATCGCATAATAATGATGATCCCCAGAAGGCGATAACTCCAACCCCCGACACGAACTGTATGTGTTTAGCTTTACTTGCTCTCTCTTTCACATAAAAGATTATATAAAAGGAAGAAACGAATGCCATCCCGAAACCCAAGTTAAACGCTATTTGATAACCCATATTGTGACCTCTGGCCAAATCTCTCAACTAAAAAGATGGTTAGCGTCGTTGGATCTTAAAACGAATCGTACCTTTGTTTGTGTTGTAAACCTTAACGGATGGTTATGGAATTGTATATTAAATAAGTCCGAAACTTCTTTGTGAAGAATACCATTCAGAAGCAGTTGCAAGCACAGAGGAGGCGAATGATAAGCTTCATTATTGAACCACGCAGTCGCGTCGTTGTCTTCAAATGAGAAAGCGCAGATGTACCTATGTCGAACTCTCGGTGTATTTTTTATTGTCTGAAACTGGTAAGTAATTAATTGTGTCTCGCGCACAGCGTGTACCGCCTCAAGGATAATGTCGCTCATGCTTCCATTGTGTGAGTCCACCACTTCCACTCCATGTTTGGACAAGTGATTCGATAAGTAGCGAACGTACGGATCAGTATCGTCATCATATGTAAGAAGAGTTATGGGTTTTGAGTAGCCCATTAAATTAATTGCCAATTTTGGCATGTCATCAAAAAATTTTAAATTCCGAACGACAATAATTGCTAGTGATATAAACAGTATAGCTAGTATATTTTGAACCAAGAGCAATGCCCCTGCACGTAAAATAGACAAAAGTCTCTTCATGAGCATCGCCTGTACTTGATTTAGCCACAGTCTCCAACCAGTCAGCAGTACTTCTTTGGTTTCATCACCATCTAGTAATACGTTTAAATATCTGGCTATTAAGTTGATATAATGGCTCACGTTCAAGATGATCTTGGTATGGTACTCCGATGACGTACTGTGGAAGGTCACCGGTTCGAGATTCTTGAACCGAACTGTCTTGGTCGCCTTCAAATCCAACCCTAAAGAAAAATGGAATATTAAAGATGAACAAATCCAAGTCTTTCGTACACCATAAACACTTCCTCCAATGTAGTTAGTGAAATTCCATAGCTCAAAACCCCCAGAGATTCGCTCATACTTTCCAAATTGCGCAACATGGGTTCGAATATGCCTGACTGATCTTCCGGTAATCGATAACTGAGCTCAGAGCCGATATGACTTTTGACCTGTAAGCTTAACCGATTACTCTTCCATTAGTGTTAGTGATTATTTACTTGTATGGATGGAATATACTCTTGAAGTATTGACGTTACTTGTTTGACATTACACTTTTTAGTCTTCTCTACGATGAGGTGGTAACCAGCGCCGTACTTCTTCTTCAAAAAGAAGCTCGTACCGCAGCACTGCAAGCTGCCATTCACCATGATCGCTATACGATCCCCAAGCAAATCCGCTTCATCCATGAAGTGAGTGGTTAAGAGTATCGTTCGACCTAAACAAGTATCTAGCAGGCATACGTTGATGTGGATACAAACCAACCAGTCTTTTGCGAGATTAACAGATCCCACAAAGCTCTGCGTGCCGCCGGATCCATTCCGGCGGTCGGCTCGTCCAACATCACAATCTTTGAGTCTCCGCACAAGGCTATACCCACCGATAACTTGCGCTGCATGCCACCCGACAAGGTTCCCGATTGCGCGTGCCTCTAAAATCAAGTCTCCTTAAATTTCTACCAAGCCAAACGTCCTACCTTCTCCTCGAGTTCCAAAAGCTCAATGTATTTATCAATTTCCGCCTTTACGCGATTCTGCGTTAGCCCCTTCAGTTTGCTAAAGAAGTAGAGGTGCTCGGCCACCGTTAGCTCCTCAAACAGAACGTTGTACTGCGGGCAAAGTCCTAGACTCTGTCGTGCCCCTTTGATATCGATTTTGATGTCACAACCGTCTACGATTGCGGTACCGGACGTAGGTCTTAGTACGCCCGTTAACATTGACATGGTTGTAGTTTTTCCCGCGCCGTTATGACCCAAGAGGACCGTTATTTGATCTCTGTACATGTTTAAGGAGAGATTCTGTACCGCGACCTTGTTGTTGGAGTACTTCTTTCCTAAGTTGATTAATCTGATGCCGGGAGTAAGACCTTCCGGTTCGACCTCGATGAATTCGTTTGACGTGTTTAATGGGGGTATGGAGTGTTCCAGTACTGGAATACAATGCCAATACCACGATCAGTCTAATACTACGCAGGGTGATTCAAATTTGAGAATGGGGATTTCGGGAACTGTAAGAGATAGGTAAGTAGTTTAAATTTGGCAAAGTTGCGTATTTTGATGATTAACAAAATGCAGTTTTGAAACTTAGAAAATTCCGACTACTTTCGAAGATATCCGGAAAAAGCCGAAACTTTGCAAAATAGTTTTTAATTTTTTACTGAAGTTATTTAAAAAGATATTTCGAAATAAATGATACATTATTATGGCCACTTTTGTCCCTCTACAAGATGCTACTTTTAAATTTTAAGTTTGTCTCCAGTCAACCATTATCAACTTTGTTTTTTCTTATGGAAGTAATTTTTATTTTTTGTGTCATTTGATGGAGAATTTTTGTCTGATTTCAAAAATGTAAACATCACTATCTTTTAATCATAAATAGCGCTATTAATTCGTCAAAACGCAAGAAACTACCCACGTACCTACACTATCTAAGAAAGTTTTCTAGGCAAAAAAGAAAATATTTTAATAATTTAAAAAAATTGTGATGTTTATATTTTTGAACTGTTTTTTGAATTCTCTATCAAATGACCCTGTAATGTTACTAGGGGTCCGGCACTGAAAACGTTGACTTACCCTATACTTACCGTTGGCAACCCTGGCAAAAAACTACGAGCAGAGCCACCTACCTACGATGGACGTTTCGCGGCACTTTTGAATTTGGATGGCAGTCGGCTCGATATGGGTGGCATGAATGAACTCCTACGTTGTGAAATCGGTTTCTTGTATGTGTTGGGACGTGAGACATAAGCGGGAAGGGAATTAAATGAAAGAAAGAATTTTTGTGCGTAAGAAATGACAAGAACAAATAAATATATTACGCACACAACAAAACCATATCAGGGAAACCTTCTACGGGACTAAAACCCTGACATATGCCACACAAATACATGAAATAAATCACCTACAGCAATAAAATGCAAGAGAAAATACCCATAAATAAAACATCTCAAATTGTATAATAAAAATCAGATAATCAAATCAAATGCAATTAAACAAGTTCATAAGAACAACATACACAAAACATCATAAATGCAGTGGAAAACATGATAAATCAATTCAGTACAAAAATACATCAAAATACCTGTACGATCAATTGAGATAACACAACTCGTAAAATAATAAATGGCATGTACATAGGAAACATGTAAATGGTGTGGCTCTACTCCAGCCTTCAGTTAACATAATTTTATTTAACACGAAAAGTACATGTGAGAATGCCAATAGCAAGTATTCATGTGAAAATCGATTATCGCTCAAGCAGAATATATTTTAAATAGTGGAAATGTTAATGAGAGGGCCTCTACTCGCATTGCTAAGATGCTAAGAACTGCAATCCGCACGAGACGAGTAGGCAACAGATACAGCGAACGATCGAACTGTATTAGGTACCTACTCCACGGAGACAGAATGAACCACTCGCACACACAAACATCGAAACATCAAATAAGAGAGCCCCCCTTCGTATAGCTAACGCACAATAGAACTGCAGCGCGCCACGAATCAGAAAGTAACAGATACAGCGAACAATCAAACTGTATTAGGTACTTCCCTCACGGAATAGTTACGGGTCAATCGAACAGAGCAACATCGTACCTACTGATAATCAACTCCTTCGTGAATACAGAAATAAATACTTAATTAAACAAAATAATGGCATAATCATCTGTACAGTATAACAAACACGATTCATCTAAGGTGCTCAAAACAAAGACATGGAGTATACCATATTATAAAATTGTGGCAAGAAATTCAATTATTAATAGCTAGTACAAGAAAGTTAAGAAATGGTTACTACCTGTAATTACACCTTCAAGACACCACCACCAAAATAATCAAGAATAAAAAAAAGCCGGGAAGCGTGATGACTTCCGTCGACCTCGTCGCCATCTTCTCCATTTTCCCCTCCTCTTGCTTCGTTATGAAAATCCCTTAGTATTCGGCATCTGCGCAAAACGGTCCATTGGTTATATACAGAGCATATATTTTTGTTTCAGATGTAAAGCTGTGTTGCCTAAACATAAGGGTGGATTATCACAACCCAAAAAGTAAAAATTACTTCCATAATAAAAAACAAAGTTGATGATGGTCAACCGGAGACCAAACGTCGGATTTAAAATTTGAAACTAGCATCTTGTAGAGGGAAAAAACCATAATGGCCATAATAATGTGTTATTTTTTTCGAAATATCTTTTTAAATAACTTTAGTAAAAAATAAAAACAATTTGGAAAATTTCTGTGTTTTCCGGATATCTCCGAAAGTAGTCGGAATTTTTTAAGTTTCAAAACTGCATTTTGTTAAGCATCAAAATACGCAACTTTGCCAAATTTAAACTACCTATGTATCTCTTACAGTTCCCGACATCCTCAAGGTGGCCCTCGAAGTTGAATCTCATTTCATTTCATTTCACGCAAAACGCAAGTTTTGCGAATCATCCTGTACATGGAGAATGAGGGGGTCGTTTTTAGCTTTTAACGTTTAACCTAATTTTAATCCATCTTATGCAAGTATTTTAGCATGTCTTACTTGTCCACGTTGTGATCTGCATTTACATCCTGATTTTATACCATTTTACGAGATGCGTGTTAATAATACCAAAAAATCTCTCTATGCTTTATCCCTACTTTCCCAATTTTACAACCACACCTTCAAAATAGCGGCTACTTAGTTTCAGCGGCCCCCTTTACTCTTTTCTGATCAATCTCATCTTTTCAAAAGAAAATGCGAAGAAACCACTGGAGTTCAAAATTGCGCGGTTAGAACATTCAATTCAATAACATCATACTAACCTTGAATTTTCCTCTTATTTTGTACAAACTTTTTATGTTATAGCACAAATGTATACATGTGTATAGTTAGTATACAGGGTGTAGAACCGGTTTATGCACCATAGGGATTTCAATGCCCTTTGCTTTATATCGAAATATATTCTCCCCTAATTAATTTAGAGAAACGTTGTAAATTAGTTTCTTGTAGCTTGAAAAAGTCTAAGTTTGCTCCTGTTCTCATTTATTATTTTTCAATTCGGGAAACCGGAAAAAATAAATAAATTAGAATTTAGTACTTGCGTAAAAACAGAATTTTTGTTTCAATCATTTCACGGCACGGGTGGTTTTTGAGTGATTTTGGAACAAAAATTAGATTTATAATTATAATCTGTAATTTCCTTCATTTCTCTGATTACCCACAATAAACAATTACAAATGGGCACATGAATAGATGCAGAATTTACAATCTCCAACAAAATTATTTACAACTTTGCTGTAAAATAATTAGGGGAGAAAATATTTCAATATAAAGGAATTATGGCACCTCAAATAAAAGTACCTAAAACTGATGTAGGTAAAAAAATTGTTTTGCGCATGCGCAGTCCGATTTTTTGACATCTCCGTTAGTTATGAACCGAATTACATGAAATTTTGTATGTATGCACCTCGAGTAAAAGTAAAAGTAATGCCGAATCAAAAAATTTGTTTTACGCATACGCAATTTCAATTTTTTATTTTTTCAGGTATTTAAGTGAATTTTTGTATATACGGACATCGGATAAAAGTAAAACTAATACGGATTCAAACATTTGTTTTACAAGATATGCTGATCTGGTGGGACAGAATCAATTCCTTAAGGTGTGTTGAAAAAATTATGTATGTGCTAAGATCTCGAGGATCGTTCGGTATTCAGTTGTATCGGATTTTTATTTACGGTTTCATAAATCTCAAAGTCACTTTTTGAGTAAACTTTCTATTTTTTTAAATTATCTAAACATAGTTCACTCATATACCGGGTGACCCAATAGAACTGTTCCTCGGCCATATCTCGGGAACCGTTCGTCGTATGACTTAGGGGTAAAAAAATATTGGGTAAATCGGTTATGATCCCTATCATAAAACCAAATATGGACAATCATCTCCCATTTCCAGGATGTGCACCTCAGCCAACACTCTATGCAAAAATTTCAGTTTTTTTGGTTTATCTATATCTTTATTAAAAAAATTATTATTTATAGTCTTAAGTCTTGGAGTAGCAATATTTAGTTTTATATTTCCACCTTGTATATCGTTTGCGTTAGTTTTATGTAGTTATTTAGTTTTTATTTAGTTCTTCCAATACGTAACCCTTCATATATTATTTCTATCTTTTATATCTATTGTATGTTATATATCTCATAGTTGTTTGACTCACTTACGCACTGCTCTCCGCGTTTCATTTTTCTTATATGTATTAATGTGTTTTTTTCTCTTTGTTATAATGGTCAACCGTAAATAAATAAATAAATAAATGAAGAATCCCTGTTTTCAAGTTCTAAAAATGTCCACCAGGGGGCGTAATTGCCATCTTAAATTTTAAAATTTTCTTTAAATTTCGCATAATAAACTAAACATTATTTTTTCACATTTTTAAAGAGAACCAGTTTATCTATCATTTTGGTAAAAACATAAACTCAGTTATTTCAAAAACAAAGATGGCGTGGAGCGTTCAAATTGTTTTTGCAATAACCTGCTTCTTAACCGTTTGACCGATTGTAACAAATTTGATATCGTTGAAAAGAGCATTCCTTGGGCCATGGCCTAATAAGAAGGCCATGCCTTGGGCAACAAGAAAGAAGCAAAATATAGTTAATTTAGTTGAATCCTTCTCCGCCAGGGGGCTAGTTTTGACACTATGATCCAAAATCCTGCGGCTGTTATTATTTTATAATGCATCGTGTTTCATTTGTTTAATTTTCCAAAGCCTACCTAAAAGTGTAGGGTGCTTTTCTTTCGCGCCATCGACAAATACCGGAAATACGTAAAAAGTAAATTTAAGATACAATTTAAGCATTTTTATTAATTAATTAATTTCATTTTCCCAATATTTGAGGTTAGGAAAGAGATTTTGAAAAACGGTTTTCACTGGCCTCTTTGGATGTTATTGGCTACTTTTTCATAAAGAAAAAGTCATATCAATCCATTTGATTTTTTTAGGATTTTGGGTCATAGTGTCAAAACTAGCCCCCTGGCGGAGAAGGATTCAACTAAATTAGTTATATTTTGGTTCTTGCTCATTTCCCAAGGAATAATGCTCTTTTCAACCATACCCCATTTACCCAATAATTTTTTTACCCCTGTCATGACGAACGGTTGTCGAGATATGGCCGAAGAACTGTCTTATTGGGTCACCCGGTACATCGCCCTTAAGCAGTGTAGGTACCAAATTTCATGAACGTTCAATGATTCATTTTTGCTCTGTAATTGTACATTATTTTGCATAGGCGGTTTGGTCAATGAGTATCAGTTCAAAATGTTGATAACCTGGTTGGTCTAGCCAAAGAGTAACTAATAATAGCAGGCAATGTTTGGCTGTTATTATACGTAACTGCACTGTACATTGAACACTGTTATAAAGCAGCCTTGGATGTGGGCATACTATTTTGTAGCGATTAAAGATTTCAAATCGCATTACCTGCTAATAAAAGTTGCTAAACTGTGACACTTCTAATTGCCCGTAATTATTTTGGTGAAGTATGGAAGGCTTAACAATGACTTACGAACATATTTCGGTTGCCCACACCAATATGCCGCTGTAAAAGGAAAATTCCAAGCTTCTCCCACACCAAAATCTCCAGGAAACACAGCTTCAATGTAAATCGTAATGAGAAAGTACAGAATTGTGTCAACCATCAGCATAATCAACACGAGTCCGAGCGTGAGAGTGTCATCGGGACTGGTTGTCTCCCAGATGTTATCCCAATGAACACCTAAAAATTTACACGGATTATGGTAATGATACCAACAGCGCGAACCTTCTCCAGCCCCTTCAAACATCAAAATGATCTGAAAACCATATCCCATTGCGCTGGTCGAGCAAATGCATGCTCCTAATTTTTCGACCAAAGTTAGTGTATCATATTCAACTTGCAAGAATGTATAGGGAAAATAAGACAAAAACCAGAACAATCCAGTTACGGTCGCCGCAAGGTTAGCTACAACATTTTGAACGTGCAGAAGAAGGATTACAAATACATACCGTTAGAGAAGAAAGAAGTGATGGCAAAGCAAAACGTGGTAGTGGCACACGCGTAGAAGGAAAGGAACAGCAAAATTACGTATCCATCTGAGCGAGGAAATAAGGCTCTGTTGCCAAACCATGACAGTTTTAAGATCATTACAATTAAAACTTGCGTCAGAAACATGACCAGAAACGTTTTTATGAACCAAGCAGTCCAGTGCAGCCAATTGGGTAAACCCATCATTTTCAACGCTTCCTGAAACAAGGTCTTAAGACAAATATTACTTTTTATCATCACCACTGACTTTCAGCTGTTTCTCTTTTTCCAATGCCACAGCCCGTACGTTGTTAACGCAGGAGTACGCGGTGCCCAACATAACAAGCAGTGGAATAAATAAACGCATAGTGGACAGAAGCTTATCAGATATCCATTTTGGGTAGGGAAATCGCTGCATTTGAATATGTAATCCGTTGCCAGTAAAGTTTTCGCCTCGTTCGCGTCTTTTCAAATGATTTATGATCGCTAGTGACAGCTCTTCCTGTATTTGCAAGAAGCCCTCCGCCTTGTATTCTAAAATGTACTGATATTGTTTAGGGAGCTTTGGGGATCTTCCACTGACCTGGTTTGGCACCATGGTTTAAAAGGAAATCGCGCGGTCCGGGCAATTGGTACGTCGGAAATAACACATTGGTTGCCCACGAATACGCATTGGAATCCTCGCCTTTTATATTGTCCGATTTTCGCAGTTCTCCTGGAAAGCTATAAGGAAGGTAGAGTGTGTATTGCAAATGCCAGCCTACCGCAAGGTAACGTCGATGGTGTGAGGAAGTGGATAATTTCCCCCAAGATTATCATCAAACTGTATCCCAGCTAAATTCTTGTCAGCATCGATTTGTTTATAAAGATCAGTTACAAGTTGTTCACTATTTTTGACAAATTTCGGATAAATAAAATGATCCCATTGATTCCTATTCATTGCGTCCACTGTTTGCTTAACAATCTGCTCTAGATTTGGATTGTACGGGGACCATAGGACCCTTATCGCTCTACAATATGGGTCGAATTTAATGGAAGACAAAGTTAAATGTCTCACCTGGTCTGCGGGTTTCGGCTTAAAATTTCCGCGCGCGTTTCGAAAGGTTGAAAAAAAATTGCGGCATGTTCTTCCGGTACCACCAACGATCGCAATAATATTAGCAACGAGCAACTTAAAAGTGGTGCCAAAATTTCTAGTAGGGTCTGAAAGGGATGTCTGCGGTGGAGTACAAAGTTTTTCCAGGTTAACAAATAGAGTTTTCGCAGCTTTGTTCCCATGTTGTGTTTCTTACAGCTTGAAATATTTGACAAGACGGTTCAGGTGAAAATATGTGAAAGGAGTACACGTCAGACTTAGGTATCTTGATCTAAGTAGACCAACCTGGCTCTTTGTAGGTCGATCCCCGTCACGGTGGTTGTCACGATTGCCACAACAGCACCAGGCACCGTTCCAACAAAATATCAATTGACCGTCTGAAGCTTTGGACGATGCTCACTATTCGCATCAACGAACCAGGTCCGAACGACATGTTAAGTTTGATATATGTACCGACTTGTTGTTTGTTACTAACAATTCTCTCCGTGAATGAAGCAATCACGGGGGTGGAAAAAAAACGGTAGTCAAGATTGAGTTAGGACACCTAATTCCGTGATTGTCTTCGACATCCATCACAACCCCGAAACCAGGGGCGGGCTATCCATCTTGCAGGAGCGGGATTACGCTAATCAAAGCTCTTCAGTTTAGAATCTATGTGTGATAAATGAGTGGGGATTCAATAATTTCCACATATTTTGTTTTTAGTTAAATTTGCCTACAAGGCCATGTAATTTTCCATCTTGCTTTTAACAAAAGGACTTTATTGCACCAAAGATGAGTGACATCCTGTACTCTTAACTCTTTCTCAGAATTTAGGTACCTGCTACTACCTGACCCATTGTTCCCAAAAACTTGCTTTTAACCTGGAGTGTAACCAACATTGTGTATATGCATTTACTATCTTTGTTAACTACTGCTTAAACTTTTACAAAATATTTTGTTAATTCACTTTTGGACTGTTTTAATCAAACTGCGAGGTTTTTCTTACGTCGTACTCTTTTTCCCCTTAGCAGTTATTTTTGCGAGAGTACGACACCTTTTGGCTTTGCTTGCTTTGTTTATATTAATGTACATCAACTAAATTTCCAGGCTTTCCCAATCTTAATAATTATGATTATGATCATTATTAAACAAGCTTTTCACAATTTGAGTGTTTTTTTACGTTCCTTTCCTACTGTGCTTCAGGTTTCAGGTTCAGGCGTTGTCTACAACTAACGTAAGGGGGCCCTGTCTTAGATTTTGATCACGTGCCACTTTTCAAATTTAAGCGCGATCTTGTTTAGTTTTGGAGGAAATAGTCATTCGGGTGGCCATTTTTAAACGTTGCCGGGTTGCCTTTATTTCCGTGTTCTTGTAGTGTGAAGTTAGCGTAGAACCTGGGGGTTAAGTACACTACAATCTATTAATTGTAATAAACGTTTATTGAGTCATTGATCTGCAAAATCATTCCTGCTTCGACCTCGCCTGCCTCCTCACCTGCAGAAAGGGTCTGCCGCGTGCACTTCAACTCTACTCGCGTACCACCGTGTAGATACATTTATTATAAATAAATCCACAGATAGCATTTTATTTATTGCAAATCGCTGAATAGATAATAATAATAATCATACAAGTATGAAATAATATTCGTATGTTTTAATTATGGAAATCATATTTATTAAGATGCTAGCCGTCGTCGTCATCGTCGATCGTCTAATTGCTGTAACTGCTACGCGGATGGCCTGGGTTCGAATCCCGATCAATGCAGATTTTTTTTTAATTTCTATATTTAGCATTTCTACATTTCGCCAGACTAATGCTGAACGTTGACGTAGGACGTGACACAGGCCCGTAGGGACCGGTAGTTTCTAGTACCTATTTGTATAATTTTTATATACTTGTTATAATGATTGATTAAACTAATGTGTGGTTTTAGTAATATGCCAGTTCTGAAGTGTGATGTACAGGGTGAGTCAACGATGGTGCGGAGTAACTTAATGCCATGAAGATAAGATTTTTCGTGCTTTTGTATTATGATATGGTTGAATATTCTCACATTTTAAAAATATTTGGAATTATACAGGGTGCGCCCACAAAGTAGGGCGATCAAATGGTACATTTTTTTAAATAGAACCCCCTGTATTGGAATGCATTTTTGAATTCTACGTGTAATTGTGCGTCTTTTTTATTATATGGTTAATAATCAGAAAAGCTAGTAGTTTTAAAGATAATTAGATTTTTAAGAAAAAATTGGGCATTTGCAAGCGTCAGTATATTGTCAAAATTATTACTTAAATTTTAATTCCACGTTTTATATCTTATCCTGGGTTAAGTAAAAGTCAAATAAATACATCTACTATAAAACATTAAAAAAATAGCTTACAGGGTGTTTTTTTGGTTGGTCCAAAGTTGCAAAACTTCATATTAAAAAGTCTCACTTTTTTTAAATGGAGAACACTCTGTATATTTTTCTGTCAGTTTTTAGCTCCTCCAAAAACCTTCAACTTTTGATAATGTCCTATAATACCTATCTCTGATAGTTTTCGAAAAATCTTGGTTTTCCTGGTTTTTATATTCTAATCTTAAATAAGTTTATGTAATTTACATAATAGTGAGGTGGAGATGCAAAAAAAGACAATTTTTATCTATCTCGTCCAAAACGAAAACCATATCGATTAATTTATTTTTCAAACAATTTATTTTAAGTCCAAAAACTGGAGAATAAGTAAAAACATTTGACTACAAAGCAAATTTAATTTAAGTTAAGTTAATTTTAAGTTATTTAAGTTTAAATATAAAAAGTAGAAAAACCAAGATATTTGTTTATGTTTTTACTATCAAATTTATTCTCCAGTTTTTATAGACTTAAATGAATCATTAGAAAAATAAAAATTGCGTTTTTTTGCATGGCCACCTCACTATTATGTAAATTACATATAACTTATTTAAAGATTAGAATATAAAAACCAGGAAAACCAAGATGTTTCGAAAACTATCAGAGATAGGTATAGGACATTCTCAAGGACATTATTATCAAAAGTTGACGGTTTCTGGAGAAGCTAAAAGATGACCAAAAAATATACTTACAGGGTGTTCCATTTAAAAAAAGTGAGATTTTTTAATATGAAGTTTTGTACCTTTGGATCTAGAAAAAAAAACACCCTGTAAGCTAATTTTTTATGTTTTATAGTAGATGTATTTATTTGACTTGTACTTAAAAAGATATATAACCTGAAACCAAAATTTAAGTAATAATTTTGCAAATGCCCAATTTTTCTTAAAAATCGAATTATCTTTAAAACTACTAGTTTTTCGGATTAACCATATAATAAAAGAGATGTAGAATTACACGTAGAATTCAAAAATGCATTCAAATACAGGGGTTCTGTTTAAAAAAATGTACCATTTTGGCGCTCTACTTCGTGGGCGCACCCTGTATAATTCCAAATGTTTTTAAAATGTGGAGAATATTCAACCATATCATAATACAAAAGGACTCTATCGAAAAATCTTATCTTCAAGGCATTAAGTTACTCCGCGCAATCGTTGACTCACCCTGTACACTACCAAACTATCCAGTTCAAACAAATTTAAAAGCAACTCTACTCCTTTCCCATTTGTGAAAAATAAAACACTCCGAAGTCTCTTACATCAAGTACTTGAAATACATGGTTAATTAGTCGGAGCTCCTCCAATCCAGAATGTTACATCAAGGTAAAACGGTTAATTACCCACCTAAATAAATCAAAAAAGGAATAACATTTAAAGTGAAACAAGCAAATACCCAACAAATTCAAGGATTACCTACCCCTATTGCATCATAAACACAAGAGTCACTATTTATCCTATATAGAGTCAAACTTAAACAGATGATGGCGCGTTTTAAAGAAAGGGCATGATATATAAGTTTATAGATTTGATTTCAAAAATTGGCCTTATTATTATATGTATCAATTGATTGTTCCCTCTTCCTCCTCCACTGGTGGTTGGTATAGGAATTGGCACATTATAACAAATTGTGAAAAAAAATGCATTTATTTAAGTCAAGTTAAATGTAAATTTCTTGTTCCCACATTTGCATCCGATATATGTTACATGATTGTACCAATTACTTTGAACTTGGTTTAAGAATAATTGTTGAAAGATTGTGTTTAAATTTGGAAGCACTTCGTTTACTTCTCTTTCATAATCTCCAACACACCACGCAACGCTCATGTGAAAGGAAGGTTCCTGAAAAAAAACAGATAAGTACCTACACAAATGATCCAACCAACAGATTCTGCATACGGTGTAAAAAGGTGGTAAATGAAATTCGGCTAAACAGTTATCAAGACTCTCTATTAATTTAGTTAACGTATCATATCCACTTCCAATTCGAATCGCTAAAAATGTTCGTGTACGTTCTTCATTGCAATATACCTTTAACGAATCAAAAACGATCACAAACCTGTAAGTAATCTAAAATAGATAACTTGCTAAAAATAGCAATGATGGAGTACCTTCTAAACGATGATAACTTTTCTCTCACAGATTTAATAAATAATTCGATCCAATGATGTTTTAAAATAACTGTTCGTGTTAAGCTAATGTGAAAATTGTCCATTGCATGAAACGAAAATTGTGACAAACCGCTTATCAGATGTTCAACCAAATCGTTAATACAAGACTCGTTAGGTTCATCTGCAAAGGCGTGAATTAATGACATTACTTCATTAAGATCTCACTTACAAGGTATGTAAACGTAAGTAGCCCAATTGCCACGTTCGTGTGGAAAGGAACGTATCCGACCGTTGTGTATTGAGGGATCGTCGATTGGCACGTCGTATTTAACATCCCGACATATTATATCTGGAACAGGTAAACTATTACTTACGTTAGTGTATTATACCACCAGACAGAAGTAAGAACCGCTTATTTGAAACGTCCTCTTCGGAAGCACAACGTTTTACCGATACCCTCCCATTGGGAATTTCTTCATCTGAACTATCACCGCCGTAGTTTGATATTAGAGACAGGGCTCCGCGATACATGTTTACAAAATACAAATTCAAATTGCAAAAATAACTAACCCAGAACCTCACATTTCAAGCTTGAACTATTCCTACCGAGATCACTACGATGAAAGCAACTACGTTTGGTCCAATTGAACTACTGTACGGCTTACCAAACGATAGAAGTGTTACCATACAGTACATAATTATAGGCTGCTTATAAGCAACTAAAATATGGTGACGGACATCGCCTGGCATAGGTATGTGAGTTTCAAGGTAAAACGAGTTTGTCTGGAGAGACGATTGGAGACTCAAAATTATATGTAGTAGTAGGTGTTGAACCCAAAAAAAGCTGCACATCGATCTAATGGTATCAGGTTGTCGCCAACGCAACCTTTAGGCCTTAGGGCGTATGCACTGACAAATTTAAGAGGAGCTTAGTTTAAGCGTTGCTTAAAATCTATGGCAACCATTTTCGCAATAATCGTTGCCATGGATTATAAGCTACGCTTAAGAAGCTTCGCTTAAATTTGTCGGTTCATACGGCCATTAATTGGATACAAGATGTGCTTTAGGATTTGGCAACACTGCATTTGCGTCCATAATAGTTCTTTACTACTCGTGGGTATTTTTGTACATTTGTGCACAAGATAAAATTTGGTTCTGAGATCTCTATATCCCTTTAAATACCCTGTATATTTCAACGTCGGATGCAACCGGTCAAGTAGGTGGAGATTCTGGGGACACGAGCCACCGCTATCACCACCAAACGTAATTGGTATGCGGTGGTTAAATAGCGTTGAAGCAATGAAGTTAAATTTTTCCGGTTACTGTACAATCCTCAGAGTGAGAAATAAGAGTACAATCTCCAATAATAAATTGACATGAGCGGGTTGTGAGGTACTTCCATATTTGAATGATTGTCAAAAAACAGATGATAACTGTCAATGTCATTCACATGTCATTTTTTTTAAATAATAACATGTACGCAAATTTGTAACCTTCGCTGTACGTTCTTCTGAACGTTAGTAATAAATTGTTTAGGAAATGAAACATCACGAAATGAATCACTCAGTGAGATAGTAATTAAGTAGCGAAATTGTAGATTATAAGTAGGGATATTATTTATTAATACAATACCTAGTGAAAATGGGTAAAAAATTCGATAAATTTTTATTGTTAATGTGGAAAAATTTTCTTTTACAATGGAGGCATCCCATACAAACCATTATTCAAATTTCGACGCCTGTACTGTTCTCCTTTCTTCTTGTCGCAATTAGAAGTTTGGTGGTACCGGAATCTCACAAGGCAACATTTTATACTCCATTCGAAAATAACTTAATTATGAATAAATCTTTCGCCAGGTAATAACTAACTGTTTTATATGAAGTAACAATTAATACGTAGGACAATTGCTTGGTCCCCCACCCATCCTGTTTTGGAAGAAATTATGAAAAATGTGACTCGAGAAATTTACACTAAAAGCAAAGTGAAGCTGAGGCTTATCAGTCATAATAACAGTTGGTTACTTGAGGAATATTTGATGAACGAGCTGAACCTGCTGATGACTCTTGCAGGGGTGCAGTTTGACGATTCGTTAATTAATCAAGAAGCCCTAAATCACAATGTTAAGGTGCATTTTAGGTGAAAGATCTGCATGGGAATTGTGCTAGATATACCGTTACTTTACAGATTTCCTGCAGAGTTGAGGTACAGTTCAAATACCACTAACAATTGGAAAACGAAACTCTTATTTCCCCTTTACCAAGTGCCTGGTCCGAGATCCTGGACGATAAATGAAGGTGGACCACCAAGTATGTTTCATCAACAGTTATCGTTTATGTTTTAACCGTGTCTTGGTTTCAAGGTTATCACTCGGAGGGCTTCCTGATGTTACAGCAGGAGGTATCGTTGGCGATCATTCATTATTTTAAACCGTTGAAGAACAACGTTTCAATATACATGCAGAGATTTCCCTATCCGGAGTGGGTCGAAGACAATCTCCTAACTGCATTGCAGAGCTTTGTCGGGCTGATAATCATGTTGAGTTTTGTTTATACGTGCATTAGTACCGTTAAAATTATTACAACGGAGAAGGAATTACAGTTAAAGGTATTTACACGACTGCCGTTAAGTTAGCACCTCGTTTATAAAATTTTGCAACTTTAATTGGAGTTCTGTACCCCCCCCCCCTTAATTTTCTAGAGTTTTTGATAATCCTAGAAAGAGTTCTCGTACTAATTAGGTAAGTCATCCAAAATCAATTTTGAAAATATGAGAGGGGGTGGCAACGTCACCCCCCCCCCCCCCCTCCCAATTACGTTTATGGTACACTGAAAAGACCATCAACATCAGTTCTAAAGTTCCTGATCCTGAAGTCAGTAAATTAGTTCTATCATAATGACTAGTAGCACAGTTGTATTTAATCTGTGCTAGTAGCATCTGTAAACTGTGGGCAAAATTAATAAATTTCCTCAACTGTATTTCTTGTGGAAAGGTGTAAGAAAACGTGCGAAATATAAAATATCATAAACCGATTTTCAATTTTAGGGTGAAATGCCAAATTCATTATGAAAAATTGCAGTGTACCATTAAAGGACACCACACAGATCTTTAAACTCGTACCAAAAATACTAAATACTTCCCCAACACCCTCGCCAACACCAAAAGATACCTTTGTAGGTAGATTCAGGCCCGTAGCCAGGGAGTGGCCAGGTGGGGCGTCTTACCCCCACTGGAAATTACGGTTGATGGGTTCCTAACAAAAATTGCAGGGGAAGTCTTATCAAAAACTTCTTAAGCTCACCTACAAAAATACCGGCCGCCCCTGCTACTTCATTCTGCCTACAGGCCGGGGTAGATTTGTATTATTTCAACCTAAAACACCGATAAAGAAAGTTTTAAAACCATTAAGAAGTGTATGCATCGCTCTATTTAAAAAATATAAAATGTAGCAAGGTTCCTTGGCATTTGAAATATTAGAAATCCTCTTAATTTTTAATTGTAAGGTGAAAATCCTTCATACTTTTTTTATTACCAGCGCATCTTTTAAGAGCTATCTGGAGATATGATCAGAACTTGAATCATTTACCGTTAATTTTTTGTTGTCTGCGGCGGGCTGAAGCCAAAATTTGGGAAGTGAGCTGATCGTAAAATGATACCTACTGAGGAATGCAAATGTAAACAAGTAAAAAGGCGAGTAACTTCAGCGCTTTCCATAAATTGATCAATACTTCCCCAAAGGCCATACCTATGTGCGCTATGTTTTTCATTACTAGAGGCATATATGGTTAAAATTTTAAAGAAGTTGACACTTACTGCGCAGTTGATATTGCGCGTCCTGCGCATGCGCTTATTAATCTGATATTTACAATATGCAATACGTTTGCTTTTACTATAAGCAGCTTTGGTTAAAATTTCAAAGAAATATCTCCATAAATAAGAAAGTTGGCATTGCGCAGTTTGCACATGCGCACATCTGATTTTTACTATATGCGATATATTTTCCTTTACTACAAGTATCTGTGATTAAAATTTCAACAAAATATATTAATAAATAAAAAAGTTAACATTGTGCACCCTGCGCATGCTCAGTTCAATCGTCAAGATTTTCCTTGACTCAGGTGCCAGAGCGATACGCTACCGAATGCAAAAAGAACGAACTAAATATCTTCAAAACTGTAGGAGTAGTTAAGGCCTCGGACAGACGGACGGACAGAGAAAGTGCCTGCAATAGCGCACCCAACTTCGTTGGAAAATGCGCTAAAAACCGTATCTTGGTACCTAAAGTGCCTACGGATAAAATCCACGGACAAAAAAATTCTCTAAAAACTATAAAGTGCAATTTATAATCTTTTCCGTTCCCGTTGGTAGTTCCCGTTCCCGTTGAAGTTGCCACATAAACAATGGACTTTTTCATATACGTATTTATAAACTTAATTTGTCGTTGCGCCACGTTTCGGAAGTTATCGATTGTAGTGTTTCTTGTCACATGTTTATGCAATTTTCAATGCTTCGTCCATCTCTACAAATGTGTCGATTGTCATAATTTTTCGCTACGGCCCAAATATGTTCGATAGGATTACAAACGCAATGATAGGGTTGTCGTGGTAATCGTAAAACGAAGTAACCGTATTGCTCGGCTAATTTGGTCAATGCGGCGCATTTGTAAATTTAACAAAAAAATTTTTAAAGCCTAAAACGACCAGTCCCAATGCAGAACGATGGTTTTTAGCATTTCACTTAAGTATCGTTGCGATATACTTATTGTTTTTCTACCCTTTCAAAACCTCCCTGTATACCTATCTAGTGATCTTATCGCGCCCTCTTTCCTTGTCTAAGGAAACTAAGAGTGAGGTTATGTTTGGTATGTTAACAGTGTTCGCCTATTCGTTCTTCACGGTGATATTCAGATAGCAACGTGTTCTTATTTTCGTATCATTTTTTCATACTGAAAATCACGGAGGGTACAGTACAAAATAAAATTTAGGTTATGGTTATACGTTGCAAATGTACAATGTGGACGGATTGCTATGAACCTTAACAAAATGTACTATCCGTTTGACGGATCAACGCAACGGATGAACGGAGAGCTATGAACCCACCTTTAGACATAAAAGGGCAGAATCGCGCATGCGCAGGCGTTGCGGGTGGCACAGTAAATTTTTTGAATGTGCGAATATGTCGGTGTTTTGATACCCGCTCTCTATTTTCTGGCTCATTGCGACCTTAGTGCCAATTTGGACCGTAAAAACTAAGCGGAACTTAATTTGCATAGTAATGATTGATGAGATATCGCTGTCATGATGTTCAAGCTAACTATAAGGATAGCTTAATATTGCAAATGAGCATAGGGGTGCTAATAATCATTTAAGTAAGAATATTTTATTTTTCCCTTTACTCGAATATTCGAAAGTTTGAAACCAAACATTTGAGGTTTTGATTATTAGAATGTGATTTTGCCTGTTTTGTTCTTGATTGATATTGGAAAACTCAAAATTGTACTGCAAGTCGAGCTCAAGCAGGTAAGTAGATCATGAATTGTAAAATTTAGTTCATTGCCATCTATCGGTGCGTAAAAATGAATCATTATAATCCTCTCATTTATACTTTTTGTAATATTTATATTAATCATATAGCTTTACATAATAATGTAGAAAGTCTACCACATAATGACGATATGGAGGAAATGAACAAAACATATGGAAGGCAATATAATTGATAGCAAACAATCATTTTGAGTTTCTGGGATGTGGACTAAACTTAATAATCCTAACATCTGGTCATAACTGCGATTTTCTTTAACTGAGGCCCAAAAAAGACACAAGCACCAACTGATGATGCTTCTGAATCTTTGTTTCTTTACTTTCACTTGATTCTTGATTTAAACAAAACTGGGTTTATTGTAAAAGTGGCTTTTTGGTGGTGGATTAATTGCCTTTATCTGGTACTTGAAACAACTTTTAAAAAAAGGCCGCACTTATACGATTACTGCTTGATAGACACAACACTCAAACTATTTCTCCGTACGTAATCACAACGTTTGCGCTGATCTCGAATTAGAAAAATTTACTTTTATAACAACGAATTAAAATTTTTGTCTGGTGATTATAGTTGCTGAGAGCTCTGAAGATTTCTAAGGATTAATGGTGACTTATAAGCAAGCTGTGCACTAAAAAACACAACGTTTTCCTTAGGAGGGTTAGTGTTTCGACTAGAGTTCTGGACAATCCTTCAATGATTCGAAACATTCAAAGGCAAAATCTTGTAGTAACGAAAGTGCTAAAGGAATATTCTTGGCCATTTTTTGGTAGAATTTTTTGGTTCTAATTATTAGAGTTCCTGGTAGCCCCTTAAGTGTGCTGGGAGTTTCTATAAGAAGGTTTTAGCTGGCGACTGATAATAAGAAAAGAATGGAGGATTTTTACATTTGTCACTAAAGAAAACATATTTTTACTAGAAGAGTTCCGGATAATACCGGATTCGGAAACTTTCTTCTGTGTTTTGACTTCATTTCTAAAAGGACGGCGCAAACAGCGAACAAGGCAAGAAACGGGGGGAGAGAGCGGCACGGCTGGAAATTTAATTAAAAAATTATTGTGTTGTCATAATCTGTTATCAATTATTATTGATGATGCCTTTGTTGAAAATAGCATAATTGGTGTTCAAGCCATAATAAAATGGGTAAACACAGGCCTTCTGGGCATGGTTGCCAGATTTCAGAACTGACTGGGCATGTGAATAAGAATTATTCCTCCAGATTCTGTAGAACGCGAATTAGTCAGTTTCGTATAAAAATGGTTTATGATATTTAATATTTCACGCGTTTTCTTAAACATTTCCATAAAACATAGAATTTTGGCGGATTACCCTACACAAGTTATGTAACTATTCATTATAATGTAATGGAATAAGAATATTAAATATTGATTTGCGCATGACGTGACAATTAATAATTAATTGTCACGTCATGCGCAAATCAATATTTAATATTCTTATTCCATTACAGTCAGTAAAACGTATATTCAGTACTATAGTCAATATTGGTGGGAGTTTTTATTTCTGGAAATTTGGCGAGGTCTTTTTGCATTGATTTGCCTTATCAGAAACTATTGACGATCTTTTCAGAAATTCACCGTTCGTGCAATGGAGGGCTGAGCGAATTTTTATAAACTAGGGGCTAACTTCACATGCGCGTAGAGTTACCAATAGTATTTTCATCCTTAGATCTGCGTTCGAATTCTGACTGTGAAGTTGGCAATAAATTTGTCCACCCACAGAATTAGTCAACTCTGTTAACAGAGGCAATGTTCTCGTCTCGTTTTTAGAGGTTTTTATTGGCATAGGTTGATTACATTTTTAAAGTTGATATACTTTGGCAAACTAAAAGTAGAATATCGAGATTAAAATCAATTGCTTACTTCACAGTAGAATTTGGTCATAATTCTAAGGGACGAGGGTCCTACTGATGACTTCAAAACAGAGATTGCTTTAGTCGAAATTATCGCCCTAAACAAGTCATATTTTAGGAGGCGATGAAAATTATGGGATTACCAAACTGGTTGCATTGGACGGCATGGTTTATAAAATCATTTATTTTGCTGTTCGTTACCGTTACCATAATGGTATCGTTGATAAAGTTTCGTTGGTACCCCAACACAAACAATACAGTATTTACAAATTCGAATCCGATGGTGATTTTACTATTCTTGGTATTTTACATTTGCGCTGTGATAACGTTTTGTTTCGCGATTAGTGTATTCTTTTCAAAGTCGACGACTGCGTCTACGATCGCTAGTATTTTGTGGTTTTTGTCCTACTTTCCGTATTCTTATTTACAACGACACTATAGCATGTTAGGTTTATCGGAAAAGTTATTTGCTAGTCTAGGTGTCAATACCGCCATGGCATTTGGATTCCAGTTGATATTGATGTTTGAAGGCACAGAGGAAGGTAAGATCACAATGGCACAGTGACTTCAAGAGGTGTTTCATAATTTTTTTATACATTGTACAAGAGTACATACATTAATGAATGTCTTATTAATGGAAAGGATAGTATTTTTTCTGAAAACTGGTGTCTGGAGTAGCTCTGTATCATTGACAACAACAACAACAACAACAACAACAAATCGAAATTTTAAAAATTATATGTTTCAACTCCATTAGAAGATTTTCATTACTTAGTATTGAATTTAAATGGAAAACATTTATCATCTTTTAACTGGGTTCATACATGAATATTTTACACAGTGGGCAATAAAAATGCATTAATTTTAATTAAGTGTAGTCTTGATTTAATTGTTTAGGCAACCCATTTGCAATGTGTGCGTTTACTAAGATTGCTAAAAAATGTATTCACTTGGTAAACAGATCAGCAAAGGTTGACCTCATGTGGGAGCTTGTACTATGTCCTTTGCATTAATAATGTATTTATGAAATGAACTAAATTAAACACCTCTTGGTCGAAGTGTATAGAATCTGTATTATTTCCATACGCAACAGGAGTCCAATGGCATAACATATGGCAGACAACGTCTCCCGATGATAACCTGGTACTTGGGCATCTAATGATAATGTTCGCTGTAGACGCAGTGTTGTACCTATTAGTAGCTCTCTATGTTGAGGCAGTTTATCCAGGCAACTTCGGTGTACCTAGACCATGGTACTTTCCTTTGACCGTCTCGTACTGGTGTGGGCAAGGAACTTGTAAGGAATTACTCTTAGTTTAAGCCATTTTATCGCTCCCACAGTTTTAGAGGTGGAAGAAAGTGCGATGTTACTCCGGAACACCAGCGAGTTTATAGAAAGAGAACCGTTTAATCTTGACGTGGGAATAAAAATTCAACGCTTGTGTAAGGAGTACTCACGTGACAAGGTCGCCGTGAGAGACCTCTCGCTTAACATTTATAAAGATCAAATTACCGTACTTCTGGGTCATAATGGCGCCGGCAAAACGAGCACGATAAATATGTTAACCGGAATGATTCCGCCGACTCGAGGAACCGCATTTATCAGCGGGTACAATTTGCGAAGTAACATAAATAAAGTTCGGGAAAATGTTGGATTTTGCCCCCAGTTTAATATACTGTTTGACGAACTGACGGTTAAGGAACACTTGCTGTTCTATTGCAAACTTAAAGGTTTTCCTAGGCATAAGATCGACGAGGAAGTGAACTATTACATTGCCGCGTTGGACCTGATACCAAAGGTAATTGATTGAGAGCAGTATTTGAGAATCACGTGATGTTAATTACAAGTTTGGCTTAGAGGGATACGTTGGCTTCGAAGTTATCAGGAGGAATGAAGCGAAAATTGTCGATTGGGGTCGCTTTGTGTGGCGGTTCGAAGGTGGTGGTCTGCGACGAACCAACTTCTGGTATGGATCCGGCTGCACGAAAAAATCTATGCGATTTGCTACAAGCACAGAAAAAAGGTAACTTTTTGTCCTTACTACTTACCATCATCTACAGTGTCCTTTCTTGTTTTTGTGACCTACTATAAAAAAAAGCTATCGTACGGCGCAAACGCGAACAAAACTGTTGGAGAAAATACTGTGCATAAATAAATAAATCAATCATACAAATAATAAATACACAGTTAGGTTGCATTCATTTTGAAGGACACACTATGACTGTTTCCCATCGCTCCATAGGAGCCTTAATATGTGGACTTTGCGCGATTGAAAAGAAGGCATTTTTGGCAAATTGATATAGCGAATATTCCAGAAATCCCGATAGACATCAAGGCACCATGAAAGGGTAGTCATCGGCGATAAAGAACGAAGGCGGATGTAACACAATCGTGTTTTCTTCTAGAATGTTCGAGAACATTCACGAGCACTCGTGAAAACTTGAGTTTGCTTATAAGCAAATCGGCTTTACTGTAACTACATTTTACTGTAACAATTAATTTTATTTTACCCACTACTAGCTCTGTAATAATAAATTATAAACACCTTGCGGAAGTTTGCCTTATTATCTTTTAAAATCTGAAATTCAAAACTTAATGCTCCAAATTGAACTCGAATGAATACGCATGTACATTGAGTTGATTGAATATACAGGGCGACAACGAGAAGTAGTTACATTAAGAAAAAGAAAAACAGTGAACGCTTCGGTTCGGTAGGTCCGTTTCGTATTTGGGATTAGACGAGTGAAAATCTGGTGGGAGAGCGGAATTTTACTAAAACTTTTGAAGAGAACTTATGTAGGTGGAGCGCTGCACTTTTAGATCGTGTAAAACGAAATTCTTTGCCAATCTTTAAAGGCGCATTATTGTAAGTGAGAGTATTGCGAATTAATGTGAACCGGAAGCCGTATAATTGCCGTATGTAAAAGAATCGTTTTTCGCGCAACTGAAGATTTGTGCCACCATTTTTGAAGCATTTACTGTCATGCGTACTTTATACGTTCAGTGGTAGCTGCCCTTTCGAATAAGAACCAATAAGAGCAAGCGTTTTTATGCAACAAGGGAACTTTGTCATGTAGCGAAAACTAATCGACGATAAATTTCAACCGTGAACATTGCGAATAAGTTACTTTTTAATGCGTACGTGAATATTTGCAGGTCACTGCACGATCGGATTCAGGTGCTCGTATTCAAACAAATTTGACCACGAAATCGTTGGGGTCCAAGGTGCAAAATATTTCGTTGCGCTATATTTAGTTAGTTTATTAATAAAAGTTGTGCACCTAATTTGTTTATGCAAGGTGTTAATAACGTTATTAGAAATATTATTAATTGTGCTTTCTTTTGCTTCAAACCTTAAGTTAAAACGGGTAATTTTGGACATGACCATTATTAGTAATCCAGTAAATAAACCATTGGAACTAATAAATTGTGAGGAACCTGACGCACGGTTGTGCCGGTTTCAAATTCGTCAATCGTCTTGCAGGATTCATTTTCAACAAGTAACTAAATATGGTCTACCGAGCGATACAAAAAGTCCGATTGTATTGTAAAAATGGCGTTCCAAGATCCAATTTTCCAAATTGCTGCTACCATCTAAAGGAGTAAATCAGCTGTCAATTTCAATTCATCGATAAATGTAAGTGAATTGAATTTTTTGTATTGTGTAAAAGTAGGAGGTGATTCTATAAGAAATTTGCGCTTAGTCATTCTAACGTTCCTCAAGAGGCCGATTTGTGTTCTTTTGCGACTGAGATACCTAAATGGCCACTACTTAGGAGATGAATGATCGCTAACCTATCAATCCACGATTCGCCAGGGCTGAGTACAGTCCCATAAAAAATGTAAATACTTCAGTGGTCACCCCCTGTATTAATAAAGACACAAACGATCAAGTTTCATTTTTCTTTACAGATTATCTGATTTAAAATATTAGTTTGGTTCATTAAAGGAATATAGACAAAAGATGCAATCCTGGTCTTGTGTCGATGTTAGATATAATCTTTATCTAAAACATCATTTTTTATACCTAATAAATCATCTTTTGTTTGGATACGATTTTTATTGATAAATGCAATATAAATTTGTTTCATGCAATTGATTCTCATAGGTCGGTTTCTTTAGGAATATTAGGATAGTAATCTTTGAAGTATCAAACAAAATTAATATGCAAATTCCTAAAAATAATAGACCACTACTTTCTTTTCACAAATTCGACTTTGATTAAGCGTTTTCCGCGATGTAATTGAAGTTTGTAGATCTCGCCACTTAATATGTTTTTCATTCTGTTCAGCTGCCAATTCTTTACAGTTACTCGAATATATGTTACCCACTACTTACGCGTTTTGGTTCTTAAAATTGAGCCGCGAATCTTCGCAAAACGCGAAGTAAATTTCTCGTATCCAAAACGTGCGTGTAAGGTCTCGTAACTTAGCTAAGAACGCCGACTCCGAAGAATTTTACGCACCATTATTTCTACGTCATCGCTCGTAAAAACCAGCGTACAATGCCGGCTCTCCCGCTTCTTTCGTTATTAACGAGCTCCTAGCGAGTTTATAATTTTGCGGTGTCTGCCCGTCCGTACGTCCGTTAGCACGTAGCCTACCGAGGCCTACGATACTTACAGGCCCGGAGCGCTCGAAAAAGTCACGTGACGTTAGGAGTCATATGAAATACATTACGGCTTATGGAAAATCCGTGCGCGGCTCCACTATTTATTTTTTTACTCCGGATCCGTTCAACATAGAGCCACGAAATTTCAATGAGAGCTTCTCAATAGTACACACAATCAAATTATGGTGTTCGTTAATTTTTAATAACACTAAAAATAATTAATTTTTAGGTTTAAAGTATTGAAGATAAAACGATGTTAGTAAATCCGCGTTTTTCTATCTTTACATCATCATATTTCTTTTTCTAGGAACTATATCATTATAATCCTTTCGGTGTCTTAAACTAGAATAATATGCGCCTCCAATTATGCGTATATAATGTCTTATCTGGTATTAGTATAGTTTTAACAGGCCCTACTAAATCGCGCATTTATTATCCGCGCAGAGAAAAATTCACCATGCGAGAAACTTTTTTGTTATTGCTATAATTGTAACACATATATCGAATGAATTGTGGCCAAAGGACACAAAAATGTTCTTCAGAAGGAAATTTTAAGAAATGGTCTCTTGTTTCCTTTTTTCAGCAGCTGAAGTAAATAGTGCGATTTCAAGAATAAGTGAACACGCAAAGGAATTATGTTTCAAATAATTGTTGGTAATCGATTTTCAAATTGTGTTCGTGAGATTCAAATTTACATTAAACTTATAAAAATTAAAGATATTATAAGTCAAATGTATGGAGTATATCTTATATCTTCGTTAATATGAATTTTGCAGTACCTACATAAAGTATTTTAGTTATTACTCGTGTGAAAGTGAAATGGGAAATTTGTTTTGTCCGCCTATGAGCCCTGGTAAGTATCGTGGGCTTTCATCTTCATTCTATGAATATATAAAAATAACATTTTGAATAAGGAAGTTTTAAAAAATAACTTTTTCTATCCAACTTACAGCAGTTTTAGTAAAAAGTACAGCTTGTAAGGAATAGGCTGTGCCGGACAGTACAAATATAAAATTAATAATATATTTTAAGAATGTAGACACAGTCATATTTTAAAATCCAATAATCAACTCTTAATTTAATATAAAACTACCTATTTTTTTCAATTTTTTGTTGTCCTAGTCTTGTCCCTTAAATTGTTATTCTTACATTTTGAATAATTATTTAGTAGGATGTTGGCAAATGTTTGCAAACTTTTTGAAATGTACCATTTAAAACTATTCTGACATTGGTCGCAAATTTCATCATCTACTTCTAAATTCTTCAAAAATATTTTTATTAATAATAATTTTTGGTTACCGCATGACAAAAAATCTTTTTCGTATCTTTCAGAAATAAGTTGTTTAAAAATATTATAGGCTATTATTAAAAAATTCAGGAAACTACCAGTGGGATATCTCAAACCACCTCTATCTAAACATCTTATGTATTCTAATTCTTCTGCTAAATTACACGACGAAACAAAATCTTTGATGCAAAATACTCCTCTTGAATGCGACTTTAAGCGCAATAAGCTTAATATTTTTCATTTTATAAGTTTAATGTAATAACACAATTTGAAAATCGATTACTAACAAATATTTGAAACATAATAATTCCTTTGCGCGTTCACTTATTCTTAAAATCGCGCTATTTACTTCAGCTGCTGAAAAAAAGGAAACAAGAAACCATTTCTTAAAAATTCCTTCTGAAGAACATTTTTGTGTCCTTTGGCCACAATTCATTCGATATATGTGATACAATTATAGTAATAACAAAAAAGTTTCTCGCATGGTGAATTTTTCTCTGCGCGGATAATAAATGCGCGATTTTGTAGGGCCTGTTAAAGCTATACTAATACGAGATAAGGCATTATATACGCATTGTTGGAGGCGCATATCATTCTAGTTTAAGACACCGAAAGAATTATAATGATATAGTTCCTAGAAAAAGAAATATGATGATGTAAAGATAGAAAAACGCGGATTTACTAACATCGTTTTATTTTCAATACTTTAAACCTAAAAATTATTTATTTTTAGTGTTATTAAAAATTAACGAACACCATAATTTGTTTGTGTGTACTATTGAGAAGCTCTCATTGAAATTTCGTGGCTCTATGTTGAACGGATCCGGAGTAAAAAAATAAATAGTGAAGCCGCGCACGGATTTTCCATAAGCCGTAATGTATTTCATATGACTCCTAGCGTCACGTGACTTTTTCGAGCGCTCCGGCCTGTAAGTATCGTAGGCCTCGAGCCTACCGATAGATCTAGCCGTGACATTACTTTAGTGACGTCACAACTGGAGATGGGCCACTGCAACGCGATACTATGTATTTAAATGCAATTTGATTTGGGCGCGTACTCATTTCACGCGAAAACATTTAGTAATTACTTATTTTGAGCAGCAGGATTGTTATATGTTTTTTCATAATTATAGACACGTGTAATTATGCAAAAACTTTTATTAAATATGTACATAAACAACAAATACTCACTGAAAACAAATAAAATTCTAATACACACATCTGCCTTTTTTAGCGTAACACAACTAAGTTGAAGTAATGCTTATGTGCTCGATTTTCCGTCGTCTGCCTATCTGTCTGTTCTGTTCCATCGAGATCTCGGCTCCTGGACCACCTAGAGACTACGGGTTTTCGGTCATTTGTAGATGCCAAAGTCTATATTTTCCCGTTACTCATCATTTACATCCTTTTCATATATGATGGCTGATTTTCAAAAATGGTGGGATACGCGTCTTCGGCAAGTTTAATCTGGTCGCGTGGAATTGTTAATACTGTACCGTCTTGTCTAGTCATCTTGTCTACCCGAATAATGAAAATGTCAGAGAAATGCTTTATACAAACCCTGGAGTAACTAGTCATTTCGAAATTGTCCCGGTGAATACATCTTAACCACATTTTTGATCGTCTTCATTTTTCGGAAAACGAAAAACCGTAACCTTGTCTCTTGAACTATAGTTGCTTTGGCAACCAGGGACGCAGCGCGTATTTGGCATTTTCTTACTTATTTTGTTCGAATTCAGTTAATTTAAGTGTACAACATTAAAAAATAAGTTAACATAAAACTTACTTGGAATTAATTACATTAATAGTACATTATATATCAAGGTAGAGAAGTCCACTATTATTGCCTGAGCACCAAGATTACATCTCGAGGCGCTTGCGCCGCCAATAATAGACTTCTCTACCGTGGTATATATACTATTTTTTTCACTACTAGCACTGAAATCCTCTAAATTAACATATTATATTGATAAGAAAGTGAACGGTTGGACAGAATTTTTTGTTTATTAATTTAACATGTCATCAAGTACGTGGAAGTACAAGTCAAACAGGCCGTATTTTGTTCTGTCATTGAGATTTTTCAAAGAGTAATTTCGTTCGAATTTTTTCAAAATGTGATAATTTTAGGTATGTAATTTCTCTGGAGGCGAATGGTGGCAATTATTCTTTTAGAGAACTTGTCCAAACGTTTATTGAGCGAAATTTCGGGTTGTGTTTTCTAAAAGTGACAGCGTGACAGTTCTCATTATTGACTACTAGTTAATAATGTGCACATTATTAACCACTTTGAACAAATGCCGAGAAAGCCTACTTTACAAGTGGAAAAAAGGTTAATAATCATGTCATCAGACGCTAGTAGTGAAAAAAAGTCGATATGACGGCCGCCGTCAGTTGTGACGTCAACGCAATAGTGGGGATGAGTGTCACGGCTAGTACTATCGGTAGGCTACGGTTAGCACGATAACTCATAAACGAATGGACCGATTATGATGAAATTTTGCGGGTGGATTCTTTATCAAATTTGTAGATCGGAGTTCGTGAATTGGCAATGTAGACAAAAAATAAAGTAGGCCTTCTTGGCCTCTCAGTTAGTTTAACCGAATTGCATGAAATTCAATATGCTCATATCTTTAGCCATATAAAACACTGTTCCAGAAGTTGAGCCTAATCGATCAGCATTCACAGTGCGCATGCGCAGTGCCAACTTTCTTATTTATGGAGGCATTCAAATGAAATTTGATACATAGCCACTTGGAATAAAAGCAAATGTAGCGCCTTTTCCAAATTTGGTTTTGTGTAGGATGTGCAGTGCCAACTTTCTTATTTATGGAAGCAATTAAATGAAATTTCATACACTTTAAATAAAAGCAAAACTAACATCAGGTTTAAAATTTGGTTTTCCACATGCTATAGCCATATACCCAGGAGCTCGTTTGCTATATTTGTTTAATTTATTTGAATCTCGCCCGCTCGAAAAACCGAAATGGAACTTATTTCCTGAACGAATCTGAAATCTGAAAAGAGATCGCGGTCAGAGCACACTTTCCCAAATATGTGCGTCGCATTACCGCGGAAGATAAAACCTAGACGCTTTTTTTAAACTACGTGCGTTTTATCGCTAGACCTACTTATCTTCATGTTTCGTATGAAGCGGTATATTGTAAATTTCCTTATGTTGAGAAAATACAAATTCGAAAAACATACTTTTTGAAACGGCTGAGCGACCACACGTTACAGTACTTTCTTGAATTGTCATTATTTTGACTATAAAACTTGATAGCTTACTCCTACACTCTGCACATTTTGAATAAATCGAGAAGCGAACTCAGGTGAGGGTATTTCGTAAATTTTTTTGTGATGCTTATCTTTTGCCTTTGGGTAACAATGTTTTGGATAAATCGAGAACAACGATATTGTAACATACATTCACTTGGGTGGTTAAATACTAGACAGCGGCGAACTTTACATTACTCCCGATTGTGTCTAGGAATTGTATAAAATAGTACCCCAACTTACTTACATAATAAAATTCATTACCGGAGAGAAATTCATAATAGAAATACGCGCGGTAAAGTACTTGCTGTCACTCCGATGCATAGGACAATGCAATTTCGAGGTATACATATGTTGCGTCAAAGGTTATTAATTTCATGTTACAGAATGCATTGGACTCTGTGCTTAAAGTCAATATATTTTTAAGGGAGAACATTACGTTTTCCATTAAAATATAAAGTCATGTTAGATATTATTGCTTGGATCAAACACCATCGCGATCGTTGTATGAGATACGTCATTATTATAATTTGCTGTTTTATTTACTTATAGTTATAATTTTGTTATAAACTGAGCTGAGCACGTTCTTTGTTTTGTGTTATAATTGTAAGTTGGGTGGCAGGGAAGACCAGTTCTGCAGGGATTTGCTTACCTGCACAACTGATTGCTGACCCTTTCTGCTAGTGTTATTGTTATTTATTTTACGTAAAATATGTAATTTCATTGTGTACCTACACTGCAGAATAAATCTATTATTATTATTATTATTATTATTTAATTACATGATTTATGTATAGAAAATTAATTATTAATTATTTGTAACGATCCTTTAATAGATTAATTTATAACAATTTAATGTTTATTACTTACTTGCAGAGCGCGTATTTCGTGACATCAATGTGAAAACTAAGACCAAATAACCCAGTTCAATTTCGTTCGCGAATGTTCTAGAAAGTTCGCTGCAATATTAAACTTCAAATTACCAAACGTGACGCGTATTTGTTACATTTTGTTAATGGCATTTTACGCAAATCCAGGGCACATATAAACACAATTTATTTAAAGAATGTATTTTAACAAATTCTTTCATTCCGTAAGAATTAGATTAAATTAGTATCAGTTACTCTGCTCATTTTAGGTAGATACATTTAACCTTTATCTACAGGTCATGTTGAATTTTTAATTGACATCTTTAATTATTTACAATTTTATTTAACCACAAGCAGTATAGCAATTCAACGACCAACCAATCTTTTAGATCGTACAATTCTACTAACAACACATTACATGGACGAGGCGGACTTACTCGGAGATAGAATAGCGATAATGTCAAAGGGAAATTTGGAATGTTGTGGATCCAGTTTCTTCCTCAAAAAGAAATACGGCACCGGCTACCATTTAATTATGGAAAAATTGGAGACCTGCGACGTTAGCGCCGTAACCGCTTTGCTACAGAGTCACATACCCAGCGTAAAGGTAATGGATCGAGCGACATCGTGCGAATTATCTGAATGTTGTAGGTACAAAGCAATATCGGCTCGGAATTGAGCTACCTCTTACCGCAAGAGTTTTCGGCGCTATTCGAAGGGATGTTGAGAGATTTGGAAACTCAATCATCAGAGTTGGGAGTGTTAAGTTACGGTATTTCGTTAACAACATTGGAGGAAGTTTTTACAAAGTAAGCGATTAGTGAAAGTTACAGTTGAGGTCATTGTCACTTTCAGAGTCGGAACCGATCACCTTAATGCCGACAGCAGCATCAGCCTGGCCACGACCGATGTTCTAAGTACTCCACCATATTGCTATAGGCCAAATTGGCGCAATCAGTTTCTCGCGATGATAATGAAACGAAGTCTCGCCGTCGTTCGCTCTTGGCTGTTGCTATTCATACAAAACTTCATGGTGGTATTCTTTCTAATTATAGCTGTAATTCTCGCGCGGCAAATGAACACCTCAACTGATCTTCCCAGTTTAAAAATTTCTCTAGATGGTTACCTCAATCCCGTAATAGCACTCACCGAAAGCGGACCCAGTAGCTATTCACATAGCTACAGAAATTTGATTCGAGACAGTGACCACTATTTGCTCGATTGGAAGAACGAAGATATGACGGCTAACATTATTAGTGAAGTAATGTAGGTCCTCGCACGAATTTTGAAATTGTTAGAATTCTTGCAGATTAAGAAGAATGCGCCGAGAGTGCGTCAGCATTTCATCACTGGTGCAACTTTCGATAATAAATCTATAACTGCGTGGTTCAGTAACCAACCCTACCATTCGTCGTCCTTGTCATTGCAGTTGGCTTTAAATGCGATTTTGAAAGCGGAAGTTTCGGCGAATCACTCGATCGAAATATACAACAGCCCTTTACCGTTCCAACTGGATACTAAGGTATTGGCGGACGTTACAAATTGATCTACAACAGTCTGTTTTAGTTACTGAACTTGTTACGAGTCAATAACTTTGGATTTCAAATAGCATTTAATTTGGGATTCAGTACCGCTTTCATTTCTGCTTTTTATGTGATGTTTTACATTAAAGAACGCGCCTGTAAGGCCAAATTCTTACAGTTTGTGTCGGGAGTATCCGTCTTACCGTTTTGGGGTGCCGCTTTTATATGTGACTTCTTAACTTTTATTTTGACGGCGATTATAGCGTTGGTGACGTTATCATTATTTCAGGAGGATGGATTTAGGACGTTTGACGATTTGGGTATAGCTATTGACCTCGCAGCGTGAGGTTATTGATTTGTTTTTGTTTCAGGACGGATTTTTTCCGTTTTTCTCTTTTTGGGATATGCGATGTTACCTTGGATGTACTTATCGGCATATTTCTTTGATATACCCTCTACTGGGTTTACGAGAATGTCACTTGTTAATGTATTCCTAGGTAAGATGTATGAAATGTTATTTCCTTATTTTTAATATTACGTGAACAACGTTAGTATTCAAGGTAAAATGCAGTCCCGAATATTGCTTTAGTACATGAAATACGAAAAAGTCTCTTGATTTTTTTTATTATTCGCGTTTCAGATTAACACTAGAGGAGCAGGGGTCATTTACAAATGCCGTTTTTGAGACTTGATAATATAACCTATCCTACCTGAAAAACCTTTATCTCAAGAACTCGAGGCTGTCTTGAATTAGCTTGAACACGCAATTAACTTAATTTTCTAATTACAAATAGAAATCACAATTTATCATTCAATGTCTAGCGCACTCATTAAACTTTACAATAACTCATCGCTGCTGGACAAAATAAACAAAAGGTATTTTTCGATGTGTCGTGCTTTAATAATGACGATTTAACATCCTTGAATATGGCATATTTTATGACATGGCGCTTTAAGTGAGCAGCGGAATTACACTGATCACAAATCAAATTTCTGAGAACTTTATGTGTTAATAGGTGACGCTTCAAGCGAACTCTATTAACTGTAGCGTAATTACACTGATAGCAGTGATTGAAAGTTATTCAGAGCAGAGTGTGGCAAAGAATGACGTATATATCTCCTATTTTTTGTTGTGCAATTGCACTGTTCCCAATTGAAGATTTTGGGAATGTTATGCGTTAGGCGATCTTTAACCTATCTTTAGTGTTGGTTGTGTAATTGCATTGTTCACAATTAAAGACTTTGAAAATGTGCGTTAGACGACGATTTCTTGAATCATCATAATGGCACTGCTCACATTTAAAATTTTTGAAAGTACTGTGATAAAATGTGACGTTTTAAACTATCCTGGCTCGGTAATTGCATTGATTGCAAAAGAAATGTTTGAAAGTGTATTTACTTTTACAGGCTTAAACACTACAATGTTGATCACTTTTTGCCATTGTAAGTAACATGTCGGTCTTCACCCACCTACATTAATTACATTGAGCTGACGCCAGAGGTCTCACTGTTAATTGAATTGCGAACTTCTCCCATTTTGAATTTTCCCTACTCTGTTGTTTTAAGAGTATGTTTTTTTTTCGGTTTTTATGGTTGACTTTTAAAAAGTGTAATGATTTATATGCAGAATTTTGAAAAGGTCCTAAAATTTGTAAACATTTAAACAAGGCAACAGATTTGGTCGTTATGGTGATTTCAACATTATTGGTGCAAACTCGTTAGAAGGTCAATGTAATTAAAGTGGCCATATGACCAATCTTGACTTTTAACATTTCTAGCGCGTCGACGGAGCGAGATCGAAACACTTATGCAAACGTTGGCGCGATGGGTTTTCTAATGCGCATGGTAATCGGATATAAAGTGTCACTTGGTTTTGTCGAGTGAACATTTGACAGTTGCCAGGAAGTTTTCGTATAATCCATTGCACATCAGTAATTAGGTGATCTGACGAATAATGCAGAAAGCATGCCGTTTGGCATGGTCGATTTTTATGTCCAATAGATCGATTTGGCCCGCAGCACCCCCTTCCCCCACCATGTGGAACCAATATGGCGGCTATTTAAGAAAAAAATGTTTCTGACTAAAAAAATATATATTTGTATTTCAAGGATGGCATGCAAGTAATGTTTTAAGGATAATTTGAGGTCGCCGATTTCATATCTGAGGTCAAAAAAACAAAACATAATAAATTTAAGCTTTAATTAGTTCTATCCTTCATGGTACTCTAATGAAAGGTCTCAACGAAAGGAATTAATTTCTACCAACCATAGCCCTCCTCCTCGACCTCTTATCGTGATCGGGTATATTCCCTTATACCTCAAGAACGGATTGTCGGAAGAGGGTACTCACAAAGGGCGATTGAGACGTCTGCAAGAAATATATCCATTGGTGATGTCAAAACAAAAGCTATTTCGGTTAAAAAAATGCGCTTTATCTGCACAAGACTGGTGCACAATTTATACTTGTTTAATTTTGATAACACTGTTTGGTTTTGATGAAACATACGCTTAGCTTCAGGGGCTCTGCCACCTCTACTCGCTCTGATTCGTCCATAGCTCAGCTTCGCCTCGCACTTTTCACTGTTCAACAAAGACATTTTTTTAGTTTTGAGTTTTGGTACGGTAAGAAAATGATATTGAGCAGACTGACGTGACAATTTTTTTGAATTTGTGAGTAATATTTTTATTTTTTGGAAACATCATCTATACAAAGTGACTTTTTTTGAAAATTTCGATTCAACTTGTCGAATCCAGGTCTGCAAATAAGATTTTTTAATTTTGTGAATACTTTTTGGTTTTGATGAGACCTACGCTGGGCTCTGATGGCGGCTTTGGGGCCTCGCCTCGTTCTGATTTGTAACGGTCCATATAGCGACCATAGCTTTTTTTGAAAATTTGGATTCAACTTGTTGAATTCAGATCTGCACATAATTGTACATAACATTTTTTAATTAACACTTTTTAACACTTTTCTTTTGAGGAGACATCCGCTCGGCTCCGGCCTCTCCTTACTCTGATTTGTAAAGGTGCATAGCTCGGCTTCGCCTCGTACTGTTCACTGTTCAACAAAGACAATTTCTCAGTTTCAGTTTTAGTGGGGTGAGAAAATGATATTGAGCAAACTAAATTGACAATTTTTTTGAATTTGTGAGGGATTTTTTTTGTTTTTTGGAAACATCACCTATACAAAGTGACATTTTTTTGAAAATTTCCATTCAACTTGTTGAATCCACGTTTGCACATAAGATTTTTTCATTATACCTCTCCGAAAGTACTGTCTTTTCATGTATCCCAAGCGCACCGAAAGTAGGGTTTTCCCGTGCGAGCGCACTGGAAAACTTTTTCCCGTGCGCTACGAATAATCACGTTTGCCATAGCTATCCCTATCCCATGCGTTGCCATGCATACCGCGGATTGACTTTGACATATATGTCAACCGATTTTTTACCATTGTGTTAAAAATGGATTTTGGTGAAGGCGAAATTCCCGCTAATATATTAAGGGAAGCTGCAGAAACCAGTTCCCAACTATTACCAGCGAAATCAAAAGAGAGATGCGAAAAGGAATATGAAAAATTTCATAACTAGTGCATTGAAGAAATCGTGAAAAGAGTACGTTATGGAGTAGGTTTTCAATGATTAAGAACATTCTTACGGTAAAAGAAAATGAAAACGCTAGCAAATTGTGCAAAACCGACTTTTTGAAGCGTCAGACCGTCCGCTATATCCCAAAAAAATCAAAAGTTCTGTATAACAAGGGAGCAATTTTTGAATGAAGCTGCAGAGATAAAATGGTGATTACTTACTAAGGTTATTTTAGTATTCGGAAATTTGGAGCAAGATGCAGGGGAGACGATACAATTCGCTCGACTATTGATGATGCGTTGAAGATAATGGGGGTTTAAGGGTCATAAGACAAGCAACAGAATTTGTTGTCAAATTGGATTTGGACTTCAATGTAAATAATTATTCTCCGTTATTTTCGGAGAGGTATAATGAAAAATATCGTTCATTACACGTCCAGAAAGGCTTTTCCCGTGTTTGCATGACTTCCCGTGTTCGGCTTCGCCTCACACGGGAAACGTCATGCGCCCACGGGAAAATCTTCCTTTCTGGACTGGTAATGAAATATACTATTTAATGTTGGTAACACTTTTTGGATTTGACATACGCTCGGCTCCGCTCGCTCTGATTTGTAACGGTCCATAGCTCGGCTTCGTCTCGCAAATCGCGCATAACGTAAATTTTTTTCATATCTCCCCTCCTTCGCGCTCTACGAATTTTGTACTAAGATGGTTTTACTTTTTATTAGTAAAATGTATTTTTTTACAAAATCAAAATTCTAATTATTTATCCAACAATTATTTTATGATTTAGATCGACGTTAAAACAAAAAAAATATATTAACTGGAAGAAGTATTTTTATAATATTTAAATGACTAATTAGAGTGTAAATTGCTTGAATTTTGATTTTTTTTGTCGCAGATTTGAAATCAGCGACCTCAAATTATCCTTAAACGATCACCCGCATGCCATTCTTGAAATATAAATATATATTTTTTAGTCAGTGACAGTTTTTTTCCTAAATGGCCGCCATATTGGTTCCACAGAGTGGGGGAAGGGAGTGCTGCGGGTCAAATCGATCTATTGGACATACACATCGTTTATGGCAACTGGCTTGCTTTCTGCATTGTTCGTCAAATTTTTTCGATTTTTAATATGTACTATTTGCATCATTCATAAAAATTTGTTAAAAAATTGAGATTGAACTCGAGCACGACCACATGCCACCATTTCTCAGTCGTAACTCTACCGTAATGCTACCCTCATTTCCACAATCACGTTGGCCACACATCGTTGGTAGGGTGTAGAAATTAAAAATTCAGATTCAACTCGGGCACAAAAACATGTAACCATTTCTCAGTCGTAACTTTCTTGCCAACTTAAAATCATAAAAAAACTAGAATTCTAATCAAAATAGACCACAGATCCTATCATCCGATGATGCGAAAAACGAACAATTTTTGTATTCAATTGTCAGTTAAAAGAATACGGTGGGGTGCGTAGCCTATAATAATCGGCGCTTAGTTTCACCAATTTGAAATTTTTGCACTAGGAACACGAGTCGTTCCGGTTAAAATCGCGCTTTTTCTCATTTGTATGTTAAGTTTGCCAATAAATGGGAGTGGAACTCCACTGACAGCGGAGCGACGGGTGGTCGATTGGAGGTTGTAGGTTGTTTTTTAGATGATCTTGAATGACGGTAGGTGTAGGGGCACTTTAGTCTGAGAAAATTCCAGAGATGAATTCGTTAAAAATCTCACTTGGAAGGAAATGTAGTTTAGTTATTATTATTAGGATTAATTTTTGTTTTTACATACTGTTTTCCTTTTCAATTAACCACATTTCACTTTTTGTCAGATGTTTATTAAATATATACTTATTGTAGAGTAATTATATGCCTACGCAATTTAGGAATGAGAAAATGCAAACTTTTAGTTTAAGGGGAAATGGAAGAACGGTTTTTGCCCAATTTCCTGTGTATATTTTCTGTACATAATAAAGATTATTATTATTATTATTATATAGATTCTGGGAAAATATTGGGCAGTTGGCCCGGGTGCAAGGTCAAATTTTGGCAATTGGACAGGGTGCAAGATCATATTTTAGCAGTTTGTCTGGGATGCTTGGGTAGCTGGCCAAAGGTATTTCGATGGTTGGTCCCGGCTCCAAGGTATTACAGCATCTGGCCCGGGTGTCGTATTTCGGCAGTTGATCCACCATCGTGGATGCTGGAGGCTTTTGCAATAGAGGTTGAAGCCAATAAGCAACACGGTGTACTTTGAACTTTAATCATTTTGCAAACTACAAAATTGCATTTATTTATATAATTGCAGCATCAATTTAAAAAAAATGGAAGTCGTCCCCTACACCTATACCAAATTACACACAACCCAATAACGATACTACGACCACCGTTCAAAGTATAAAGGTTGGTGTAAAGTCCAAAGACTGGTAACCGATCAAAGTCCATTACTTACCGTTCAAAGTCTAAAGGTTGGTTACCAGTCAAAGTGCACGCAACGGTAAAGGAACTGCGCAATGAACTAGCAGGGTTAGATTCAATCGGATTGTTAATGTTTATTATACAGACTGAGACTCCGTTACATCATTAACAATAATTGAAGAATTGTGATGCAGATCTAAACACATTCTTCCATTTTTTTTTAAATTGTTGTACGTTAAATATTAAAACGACAATTAAAAGGTCCACTCAAACTGACGTGGGAACGGTATCGGGTCGGATGCTGGATATGCAAGTATAACGCGCGCGCGAACTGCCGCATCACTGTGCATACTTGCATATCCCGCTGTACAAATATATCCCACGTTCGTTTCTGTTCCAGCATTCCCGCGTCGGTCAACCTCTAATTATAAAATTGTGAAAGCCTCCGTAGGTCAAATGGCTACGCGTTAGTTTTCTATTTCAGGTATCGCGCGTTCGAATCCCAACGCCAATAAAAAAAATTATGAAAACTTCCTGGCACCCGTCTAGCCCGAGCCTGTGATCAGCGTTGAAGAAACACGGGCAGACGTTTACTTAAAATGTTCTCTATCTCGCTACGGACGTTCAAGGCCCATCTCTATCATACTTCCTTAATTATCGTCCGATTGGCCTTTTAATTAACTTCATTTCACTCGGTTAATTTATTTATTTTTATGTTAGGAATAACTGCAATGTTAGTGGTTCAAATTTTGGCCCAGCCGGAATTGAATCTACAGTACGTCTCGGACACAATGCACTGGATCCTTCTTCTCGTACCGCATTACTCCTTCTGTACAGCAGTTCGAGACCTTTTCATCGTCTACTCAACTCAGCACAATTGCGAAATCTTCATCGAAAAGTGCGTCAACTTCACCATACCCGGCTTCCCACATCTCACTCCAGAACAGTGCAAAGCAAAAATTTGCGACGTTATCCCCAAGTGTTGCAGTATGTTGTTCAAACTCTTCATGATCGTTTACTAATCAAATATTTCAGCAACCACCACTAACTACTACGACATTGAATCACCTGGTATAGGAAGAAACGTGATATTTTTAAGTTGCGTCGGTACTTTCCTAATCATGTTACTTCTTTCCATCGAACTTCGCCTAATCGAAAAGATTACCAACAGAATTTCGTTGTCAAGGCGATCGGGGACTTCCACGCCTAAAGTCCTAGACGTCGACGTTTTGCACGAGCAGGAAAAAGTTCGTGCAATGCCACTACAGCAGATCCATCATACAGCAGTCGTTATGAAGGATGTTACAAAATATTATGGAGCCTTCCTTGCGGTCGATAACTTGTGCGTGTCGATAGACCAGTACGAATGCTTTGGCTTGCTGGGCGTAAACGGAGCTGGAAAAACTACAACGTTCAAAATTATGACTGGGGACCTTCGCATGTCGTCCGGCGAAGCTTGGATCAACGGAATTAATTTAACATCGAGCATGAAAACGATTTACAAACGCATTGGTTACTGTCCACAGTTTGATGCACTTTTGGACGAGCTAACCTGTTTCGAAACTCTTACAATCTTTAGTCTTATACGCGGAATGTCGTTTGCTGACAGTCGGAATATGGCGAAAAAACTATCCCATGACTTAGATTTTTATCAGCACTTACATAAGAAGGTTAATGAACTTAGTGGTGGTAACAAACGAAAACTTAGCACTGCCTTGGCGTTAATTGGGGACCCTTCGGTTCTATTCTTAGATGAACCTACATCAGGTAACTTTTAACATCAGTGTCTGTGTAATTTTGAATGTATTTAGGTATGGATCCTGTAACGAAGCGTTACATTTGGAATGTACTTTGTGGCGTTCGCGACAGAGGAAAGTGTATAATTTTAACCTCGCATAGTATGGAGGAATGCGAGGCTTTATGCACGAGATCCGCAATAATGGTCAACGGGATATTTATGTGCATCGGTTCGACGCAACATTTGAAAACTAAATTTTCTGAAGGCTATACACTTATCGTTAAAATGAAGAAGCAAGAGAATTACAGTTTCGGCGCGATCGAAGATTTTGTCAAAGACAGTTTTGGGGCGGTTCTCATTAGAGAAAGACATCAAGATTTGATAACATTTTATATTCAAGACAAAATGCTGCCTTGGTCACGAATGTTTGGTATTATGGAGGAAGCAAAAGCGTTTTTAAACATTGAAGATTACTCTTTAGGTCAGAGTAGTTTGGAGCAGGTTTTTTTGTCTTTTACAAAATACCAAAAAGAAGAAAATAAAACTTAACTCTGTAATATGTTTAATGTGTGCCCTTTATTTTTTAAATCCTTTATTTCTTCGACTAATTCAGGGTATGACTTCAGCAAATTATGGATCGCTGGTCCTCTCCAAGATAAGTTGTAAGTAAGCCGCGCCTTATTGTATAATCTTGTTAACTGGGGTTCCAATGTTAGCGAGTTACGTCGAGATACCACAAAGGATGCTAACGATAAAAGTATAATATTTTCCAGGTATTCTAAGACGTGAATATCCTTTAATCCTGACAGCATACGATCTATTAACCGTTGAAAATTTGAAGGCGAGTTCCTCAACCCAAACGAAAATTTCCGAGTAAATATATCTTGTTCTTTCACAGGAACCTGCCAATAACTGGACTGTAAGTCTAGCGTACTCATATAGTAGGCGATTTTTCTAGTGGTAACCGACCGAAATATTTCAGCGGAAGCGATCTTGGCGAGGTTTTGGGGGAACGGCAACGTCTACGTCGCACTGTTGGTGATCGACATCAAAAGTCACACGAAGTCGCTCTTATTTACGGCAGATCCAAACGACGCGACGCGTTGAATGATTGCCGAAACCAAATAAATATGTTTGGTTTTCTTGGCGGCTTGTAACAGTTCATCGATGCGCGGTTACGGAAAATGATCCAGGATTAGTTAGTCCGTTAATCGACACACACGGGATATGTACCGTTTTTTAGAATTCGAAGCTTCCTCCGCCAAGAACCCGTGTCGTTTTCCTGGACCATCTGAAAAGCACCAGATGTTTTGTGAAAGGTTTAATGTTGGCGTTGTGTTACTTCAAACCCGCCGCATAAACGGCCAACTTATTGTATTAACGAATATCGATGTGTAAAATTAATTTTGTAATTGAAAAACATAAATTAACATTACATTAATACTCACTGACTAACACACGCACACTTTAACTAAACTAAAATAATCTCAACACTCCCACTTTTAGTTACAAGTTGCTAAACCTAAGCCAATAAAAATCATTCTTTTGGCATAAGGCCTATCAATGTACGAAAATATTGATGCTTATTTTTCGGTAAAACTTTCGTCATTATGTCGGCTGCCTGTTCGTCCGTTGCCACATATTTCAAATCGAAAGTTCCATCATCGTACTCCTCTCGAATGGAATAATATCGTACATCGATATGTTTTGTTCTCTTATGGAATTCCGCATTCTTAATAAGTCGAATTGCGCTTTGATTATCCATAAGAAAAATCGGTTTGTCCAAAACGACCGGCAATAATTCGTATAACAACAGATACAACCATATCAATTCCTTTATCGCATACGCTGCCGCCATATACTCGGACTCAGTTGTTGACAGCGCCACTGATTTTTGACGCTCCGAATCCCAACTAATAATACTGTTACCAAGCATAAAAACATACCCAGATGTAGATCGCCTGGTTTCGATATCTCCACAGAGTTGTAGGTATACATATAAGTAAATAGAGAGACAGTCTTGTAGCGAAAAATTGACTCCAATTGAACCTTGCGCAGGCCGTTGGTGAGTGTGCGCAGTAATCGACAACAGAACCAGCTTCAAATTAAATGATCCTTAAAGCAGGTTCGGCTTGAGAATAATATGGTTTCTCATTGCAACAAAAATTGAAAAGAAATTCAATGTGTGGTGAATGATGTTGTTAACACTGTGTCTTGAATAAATAAGAAACATTACAATCGTTAAGAACTTTTAATACAGTAGACTACAATACAAAGCTGGTAAGGGGCTTACATCAGAATCGAGAAAAGATTTTTTGAGATTCTGGTATAAAGGAAATTGTATATTTGTCGTGCGATCGAGTTTAAAGATCTATTTATGCACTCAGTGAGTATAAAAATAAGCAATGAAAGAATAAAATAAGTTGAAATTTTATTTTGGTGCGGGACAAAATTTCAGGTTTGCAATGCCGAAAACACAGTTTGAATACGAGTAGCCACAAAGTCGACAAACGTCAAATGCCAATACCTCAAATATCTCAAAAATGGAGAATCGGCAGAGGGTATGTACAGTGGCACCACGCTCAGAATGTTCCTGACAGGGCGTGTCCGAGGACGTTGGAAATTTAGACTGTACATTCTCATGCAAAATTTGACTCTACTAAATATAAATAAGTGGGCCACGCGATATGAGTTGCATTACTTCAAGGGGAAACAGTAAAATTAATAATTTTATTTTTACAAAACGTAAACACATTTAAGATTGTTAGATGTTCATGTTCAACACAATTTACAATTCTGATGCACTTCTGCTGTGTAAATATGGACAGTTATTGAAACAATCACATTGAAATTAATAACACTCACATTGACTAAATTAACACACAACCTTTAACTTTTTTCATTCATTATCGTCACTTGACCACTAATCATCATCGGTGTTCACAATAAATTGTACATTGTCAATAAATTCATTTCTCGTAGGAATGTTATTTGCTTCTAACCAAGAACGTATCACTTCCTTACGATTATTCATTGTTGGTGGCTTATTTATTTGAACACTGATAAGGTGCGTGAGTTTGCTGGTAAATTTGGTATAAGCTGCTTCTCTAACCACTGCATGAAGTTGGTAGGATTCATATCGTCGTGATAATCCCCCGATTTACTGTGCGACATCCTCTACAAAACCAGAACGACTACCAGCATACTACGATGTCCTCTGACCAGCCCTATTATAAACTTCCGATACTTCATCTGATTGTTAGCATTTACTCACTCCGTATGATGGGTGAATATAGGTTTCGTCCAAGTATATAACGGGTTTCTTGTCACATTCAGGTTGTTCATTTTCTTTTAATCTTCTTAAATAACGAGATGCCATACTACAATGTCACTTCTTTCCATTACCAACCTACGTTTGTCCCGACACTTCTTGTATCGAAAACCAAGTTTCAACAATTGCTTGCGAAGAGTTTTGCTTCCACCCATATATTTGATCTTTTCTTGCACTTTTCTAGGAGCATTTTAAAATATCCTTTATTTATGTACAGATCGTCGCGTACTAAACATTGAAATGGCGGTAAAGAGTATAATGTAATGGGCATGCTTAAATTATTGCTCCAAAGCGTCTGTTTATTTACAAATGGAGCTGAAGCATCTGAAAAGTTATTGCCGTTTTGTTTTGTGATTATGTAACTGAATGCACCCAAAAATCGTGCTGATTCCCTTTCACGCACTGCGCATGAGTCCCAACGGCTCCGCCATTAAAAGTCGGCCACTGTAGTTGGAGTTATTTTTCCACGCGCAGGTCGTATGTACTGCCTCTCTATTTACTTATATACAACTCTGTGGATATCTCCCGCATAATCTGCATCGCTGTAACCACACAGATTCAAATTGGTGCCACTTTCAAATCGAATGCCCATATGTATTGTTCCTTTGATGTATTTTAAGATGCGTTTTA